CCGACGCGGGGCCCACGCAGCGCCGCACCTCTCTGTGACCGGGCCCCGGTCCGACGCGGGGCCCACGCAGCGCCGCACCTCTCTGTGACCGGGCCGCGGTCCGACGCGGGGCCCACGCAGCGCCGCACCTCTCTGTGACCGGGCCGCGGTCCGACGCCGGGGCCCACGCAGCGCCGCACCTCTCTGTGACCGGGCCGCGGTCCGACGCGGGGCCCACGCAGCGCCGCACCTCTCTGTGACCGGGCCCCGGTCCGACGCGGGGCCCACGCAGCGCCGCACCTCTCTGTGACTGGGCCCACCAGCTCCTTCACATACACTGCACAGCCATGACGGGCGCACAGACGTGACAGATGCAAAGACAGACACAAGATGATGACCAGGCAGGTGGGTAGAGAGCATGGATGGCTGAGCAAAGCCCCTCTGTGAGCTGCACTGCCTCAAGGCCACATTTTGAACACATTTCTAAACTTACAGGACCCACTAAAAACAGCTGGCTGTCAGAGTGATGCAATGTACAGGCCTGATTACACCGGATCCAAAGAGAGCACAGCCCAGCAAAGCCCAGTCATAGGCCAGCAAAACCCAGCCATAGCCCAGTCATAGCCCAGCAAAGCCCATCCATAGCCCAGCAAAGCCCATCCATAGCCCAGCAAAGCCCAGTCATAGCCCAGCAAAGCCCAGTCATAGCCCAGCAAAGCCCAGCTATAGCCCAGCAAAGTCCAGTCATAGCCCAGCACAGCCCAGCCATAGCCCAGCCATAGCCCAGCCATAGCCCAGCCATAGCCCAGCCATAGCCCAGCCTTCCCCCAGTGCTGCTGAGCAGCCCACACTGAAACCTAAAGCTGTTTTAAGACCAAATGAGGCGGGTCCCTGACAGGCGTGTCATCAGCTGAGCGCCAAAAGATTACAGTACATCCTGTTTGACCGTCTAGGTAAAGCACTCTGTCAGTATGACCCATAATATTTACCTTCTAAGAAGGTTACAAGTAGAAAATCTGCAAGCGAAAGCAAAAAGACTGCAGACTTAGACGATGTGGAGTCTTGCACTTAATTACTAAAAGGAATTAATCAGTCAAGGGTGTCCAGCAGTCTTCTGAAAGAGCAAAATACACACATGTGTCGCTAGGATATAAATAAAGTCTACAGGAAGCAGGACTGGTTGGACAGAAACCACCCAGGAAGTCTGAATTAAAGTTATTCGGGGAGAAGCTGTGTCTCGCAGGAAACGCAGAGATACAAACACGAAACTGTACGAGCACGGCCTACAGACGGCACGCTCACGACACTGGGCCACCCCAGCTACGGCTCTGCTCTCCTGCAATCCACCATCTCACAGCGTCACCTTCTTCCTCAACGGCTGTCAGCCTATGATGTCATTCTCGCTCTGGCGCGGCCGCATCGATAAAGGCGCCAAGTGAAGCTAAACAGAGGCTGCATCCCAGCTCAGTGAGCAGAGTAAACATACGGGGAGGAACGACACGAGCGGCAAACTGCTGTGGCACCAGGATCAGCAGAAAGGCAGCATCAGCCCAGCTCATGGAGCCAGACACACTCACAGCGTCCTCAGCTGCTGACGTGCCACATGGACGCCATTATGCTTATATTAATTGGTTAGGTTTTCCTGTAACCTTGCCGACTGCTTCAGCTACAGCCCCCTTGGAATCTGTCCTCAAGTCATTTACGAACAGTTAAAATAACAATGCTATTGGCTGAAAAATATATTTCACAAGATGTTGGCTTTTATTTTCAGGAACAATTCATCTTAATTTGAGGTGTGTGGAGTGACAGTTCTGAGAAAGGTCCGGCATGACAGGCACGAACCGGACGACCTTCCCTCCAAGTTCGCTAGTTCCAGTAAATCTGAGAATTCTTCCTGATAATGTTTGAGATGCGCGTTTGACACTGTGGCCCCGAACTGGCTGCAAGCCCATTGAGGGGACAGAACAGTGCAGGGTCGGCCCAATGCTGTAACGAGGCCCAGCGGACACCAGGGGGCGCCCCATCTGATCAGCCTGTCAGAATGGGAAGGAAGATGACCAATGACACATTCATTTAGCGCCCTGGACCGGGAAGGGGTTGGGACAGCCCGGGTGCACTGTTAGCATTCACACGGGCACTGGAAGTCAAGCCCGGATCGGCTCGGCTGGGAGCTCACCTGGGACCCGCCCGCCAGAGGAATGCAGCACGTCAGCAGGTTTCCGATCAGCGTCTCCAAGGCGACGCTGACGCCGTCCGTGTGCACGGTGTAGATCAGCCCCAGGCAGTTCTGTGGACGGGACAGCTGACATGGCGACATCTGTGGGGGAAACGCGAAGCAAGCCCGAGCGCAGAGATCACGCCATCCTGACAGCCCATCCCCGGCATACCCTGAAGACCTCCGCGTGGTCCAGCCGCGACACCAGGACCAAGCTCTTGGGAGCGAAAAGCCGTCCGGGCCGCATGTTACCGTCGTCGTCATCATCTCCCTCACTGAGGAGGCTCTTCTGGGCCTGCGAGGGGATTAAAGACCCACAAAACAATCACGTCCCGGTGTGCAGAACACAAATCCCAGTGGAAACAGCACCCATGGTAACGGCGCCATGTCCCTGTGCCACACCCATTCTGGATCAGTGAGGTGCCCACCACGTACCTGCATGCCATCAGCCTCCTCCCAGAATGTGAAGCAGGAACAGTACTGGCGATCGGAGTTGATGTCCGTCAGCACAGCCACAAAGAAGGAGGGTTCCAGCCTCTCAGAGACCAGGCGCCATCCACTGGGCTGGCAGAACTGCACGGGTGAGGCGGGTTGTCAGAACCAGACACAGGTCCAGGGCAGGGCTGGGGTCCTTCACCTCCCCGGCAATCAGACCAGATAACTTCTCCGTGAGTGAGAGTGTGAGAGTGTGCGCGGTGGAGTGGTGTGGGGCCATCGTGTGGGTTAAACGATGCACAAGGAGAACACGCAGAAACACTCATCTGCATTATTTGGAGGCTGTCACAATCTGCGGTCTGGACAATGTGATCAGGGGGTCTCCAATCCGGCCAGAGAGCCTCCCCCAGGGCCGCTCCGGCCAGAGAGCCTCCCCCAGGGCCGCTCCGGCCAGAGAGCCTCCCCCAGGGCCGCTCCGGCCAGAGAGCCTCCCCCAGAGCTGATCCGGCCAGGGAGGGCTTCCTTCTGCTTCCACTGAATCTTAAGAAATCCCCCTTTTCTGCATCCAGAAATCAATATTTATCCTCATATAATGAAACTGCCGACAGAGTGTACTGCTGGGGCAAAATAAACTATGAAATCTGAGGGTTTTCCGGCCTCCTGCTTTTTCCCTGGACAGATACCAAAGACAGTACTGATGTTGCAGAAGAGGACACCCCGGACCGAGTTGGGTGGGTGGGGGTTATTGTGTGCGTGTCAGAGGAGCTCAGCAGTGCTTGGCCCACTGCTCTGATCATGTGACCAAAGCGTGAGGCAGGAGAAGCCACTCACCAGCTCGACTCCCTGGGGAAAAGGGTTGTCCTCCCAGTCTTTCTCAGGAAACCTCTGGAGAATGCGGCCTTGGCCGTCACCACCCCCTGCAGAACGGGGAGGAGAGCGACGTCATGATGGGCACACCACGCCCCCCACAGCGGGCCAGGCCCAAGGACGGCCGTCATCACAACCAGCTGGACCACTGGGCTACAGGCCTCATTCGCTTGAACAGAAACAAGAGCACCTATGGAGCTACGAGCCAGAGCAGCTGATAAACAAGAAACCCGCCCCACAGGATACCAGACAGGGCCATTGCTGGGGGTGTCAGCCAATCAGTCACGTAGCTCGGGGGGGGGGGGGGTGTCACTGCTTCCCTCTGAGATGAGGCACAGAAAATGACAAACAGCACGGTTACAGTCATGTTAGAGCTGCCGACCTTGGCATGGCTGATAAGCCCTGCTGCTGATCGCTGGGGAGGATGATGTTATACACACAGGACGCGCTGGCTGAACTGGACCTGGCCACCAGCTGCAGAGGGGTAAGCGGGCTCCTGAAGATTCCGCCCTCTGCTGGCCGCTATCCCTCCGAGCATGACGAGGCAGACAGGCAGATAGATAGACGGACGGACGGACGGACAGGCAGGCAGGCAGGCAGGCAGGCAGGCAGACAGACAGACAGACAGACAGATAGACAGACAGAGAGAGAGGCAGACAGACAGACAGACAGGCAGACAGACAGGCAGATAGATAGACAGACAGGCAGGCAGGCATATACAGTAAGAGTGATGCTTGGGGTCTGAACGCAGGGTCAGCCATTTATCCTGCATCATTGGAGCATTTTTTGAGCAAAAGTGCCATTCTGCCAGCCAAGGGATATTTAGAGCGGAGTTATAAATGTCATGTGTCATTAAGTGTGCAGGAGGCCGTAAGCTCTAGAGGAGGAGTCTGGGACAGATGACGACCGGGCCAATCAGGTGAGCAGCCAGGCCTCACGGGACGGTGCAGGGCCTCGTGCTGGAGCCACATGATACTAGGGTTGGGTACCGAAATCCGGTGCCGATACGGCACCGGTACCAATATAACCGGTATGTACCGGACCGAAACAGAACGCGAATTTCGGTGCCTCATTTCGGTGCCACTTAAATGCCTGAACTGTCGATTGAAATATTTGTTCTCTGGGGCTATGATGACACAGTTGTAATAAACATCAGATTCATCAACACACACGTGACATCATCAGGAAAGGAGACCATCCGAGATGCGCGTGAATGCAGCAACTAACGTTACACTTGCTCTGACGGCAGCAGGTGGTCTACCGCTATCTTAGCTTGCTAAATTAAATAACTTTCGTTATTACACGGCTCTCTGGAATGCTTGATTCTGATTGGTCAGTTGAGACATTTGCAGGTTCGTTATTTTCAAATAATAACCGCTCCAAAGTAATAACGCATAGTCACGTGGTACTATATCGTTTCGCGGAAAGATAAAAATGTTATTTTAAAACAAATATGCCAATAAAATGTTTCAAATTCATATTCATGTCCAGTTTTTTTCCTTATGTGGCAAGTAGCCGTGTAATAAGCTTCGCGTCGGGTCCTGATCACACTGTCGGGGCTTATTTCTGCGATAACTACCGGCTGCCTGTACATTATCCCTTACTTAAAATGCCTAAAATTAAACGGTCGAAAGTGTGGCTATATTTAAAAAACAAAGGATTCTGACACCGCGACGTGCAGCAAATGTTTTACAGCAGTTGCGTGTAAAGGGGGAAACACGTCAAATCTAATGAAACATTTGAGGGCACACGGAATAAACTTAAAAGCAGAGGGATTATATATTCATATATACTTTAAACTTTTAATATATTGTTCAATTTTAAGCATTTAATTTTTTGTTCAATAAAAATGTATTCTTGAGTCATCCACCATCATTTTGTGGCTTTTGTAAAGTATCGGTTCAGGCACCGTTTTGGCACCGGTACCGTTTTAAAAGTATCGATTTGGCACCGGTATCGAAAAAACCCCAAACGGTACCCAACCCTACATGATACAGGGACCACACCTGCTAGATCTCCTCCATCACAAGAAGGGAAATTACAGACGCTGCCTTACAGAAGCTGAGCTATTCCCTCAGCAGGAAGGTGTGGTCTGATGGAAGGGTGGCCGTCCTGATTGGACGGTCACTGAGTGGGGGGAGGGGGGGCTTTCTCTGATAAGCTCACAGCAGCACTGAAGACATCAGACCATCATTGTCACGCAAACAGAAACAGAAAATGATAATCATTCAGTGTCACCAACATGGGCATTAAGGGACCCTAATGCATGACACTTCCTAAAGAGCAACAGGCCGTGTTCAGCCCAGTGTGTCCTTACATAAATACGATAAGCATCGCTTAGCAAACAAGCCGTCTGAGATTAACGTGGCCTAAATCTTAGGCTCCTGTCCTGCGGTCAGACATCCTCTGCCGCCCGCGGTAACAGCGCCACGCTAACCCGGGGAGGCCGCCCCGCGGTAACAGCGCCACGCTATCCCGGGGAGGCCGCCCCCGCGGTAACAGCGCCACGCTAACCCAGGGAGGCCGCCCCGCGGTAACAGCGCCACGCTAACCCGGGGAGGCCGCCCCGCGGTAACAGCGCCACGCTAACCCGGGGAGGCCGCCCCGCGGTANGTAACAGCGCCACGCTAACCCGGGGAGGCCGCCCCGCGGTAACAGCGCCACGCTAACCCGGGGAGGCCGCCCCGCGGTAACAGCGCCACGCTAACACAGGGAGGCCGCCCACGGTACCAGCGCCACGCTAACACAGGGAGGCCGCCCACGGTACCAGTGCCACGCTAACCCAGGGAGGCTGCCCCGCGGTAACAGCGCCACGCTAACCCAGGGAGGCCGCCCCGCGGAACCAGCGCCACGCTAACCCAGGGAGGCCGCCCCGCGGTACCAGCGCCACGCTAACCCAGGCTGGGGTACATCCCACATGGAATTTAAATGCAAAAATAATAACATTAAGATCAATTTCAGGGCCCATAGTAGCTTTACTCAAAGTAAAAAAAGCCACTGTCACTTAGTCAAAGTTGAAGCCTCTCTGCTTACTGTACTCAGACTACAGTTTGAGCAATGTGACTAGTCAAACTGCCCTAAGCGTGTTAGCACATTGCTAACAGAATCAGAATCAGGCTAAGCAAACACAAGAGCGGAAATACAAACAGCCACTCCTTCATCCACGTGACGGTCCTCGCGGCCAGCTGCGTCACTTCTGCGAGATACGCCGTGGACATAAAGTGACGTGCGTCGTCGTGTTCGACACAATCATTCACACATTAGATGAAAACACTCCAAACCCAATTCGTGGGTCACGGTTTTACTGGGCGGTGATTCATGCCATGTTAGCTGTCCGTGTGCAACTCAGGAGCCAGGGTGAAGATCTGGCTGACATCCATGCGTTTGGGAGACCCGGGGAGGGAGCACGAGCCACCCAGAACTGGAATCTGAAATGATCTCAGAGCCTTCAGGGCGTGACTCTCTTAGCACAGCCTCTGTAAGGCCGAAGGCTTACAGCAAGTGCTGTGACTCATATGACCGGCACGCCAGGCCAGGCAAATCAAATATGAACCAAAATCGCAAAAGTAAACAATGCTAAAATCTCTCAAAAACACAATCTCTGTCCCCTTGCACTCCGGCTGGGCTGCTAAACCAGCTTAACGGTGGGTTATGGGAGGAGATGCTAGTTCTCTGGCACTGCACACTCCCTAAGAGACCATAGGGGGAGATCAGTTCTCCATTCTGCCCCTAGGGGGGCGCAAACACCCCCACCAGCCGGAGCTCCTAATTCCTCACCCATCTGTCCGGACTCTCACGCCGTGGAGCAGCAGGCCAGCCAGCTTGCTATTGGACGGATGCCCTGGGAAAAGCCCGGCGGCGGGGGAGGAATGCGGCCTCAGCGGGGGCAGAAAGACCCCATATACACTGATCCCAGACCACCTCGCATTGTCCATTATGCATGGCAGATGATTCATCAGATACAAAGCAGTTTCATTCAGTTATTCACTGACTGGCACAGTATACACTACCTTCCAGGAGAATATACTACAGAGATGGACACGTCTATTGATAATGGACAAGGACTCAGGTGTCTGAAGAGGAGACTGGCTGTTGTACCCTTGACAAAGTGCTGATCAGGAACTCGCTGTGCAAACCGGTAAAGAAGAAAAAAACTTTAATCGCAAATCTGGATAAAAGCTTCTGTCACATGATGAAATGCAAAGTAGGACCCAGGAGGGGCACCAAAGACACCTCAGTGAATGAAGGGTGATCAACCAGAGGGCACGGCGGGCAGCAGAGGGCATGCTGGGTAAGCAACTTGGTCGGGGGAGTTCAAAACCAGGGGACATGACTTCAGCTAACAACGTGACAAAAAACACACCCTACAATCAACTGGCAGAAGAATTTTTAATAAATTCCTAACCTATCACATTATGGACAGCCACTCCCACCACCGATTACAGCAGAAAGCTATTTTTCTGGAAATGTGGCTGACCGGACCATATAAAATAATCATGTTACACAGACTTCCTGTAAAGCTTCCATAATCCTCTCAATCTCTTTATAGGTAAGAGTTCAAAACATTCTTACTGGAACAAAGCAGTAGGGGGTGTGTGTTGCCAAAGGCCTCTGTCCACAGACAACAATAGCCTTTCCAAGGCGGCACCAGGACGTCAGCACACACCAGCCTGTGTGTGAGCGGCGAGGCGTGCCATCGCGGTTAGGCAGTGATGGGACAGGAAGGTGCCCAAAGTCACCTGCCCTCCAGAAGCCCAAAGAGCTGAAGCCAGCTTCTCCCCAACAAAAGGGTGCAATGAGGATAACAAACAGGCCTTTTCAGTGTCTGTGAATACAGGAAGGACCCAGACAAGATCTTTACAGAGCTATAAAAACCGACACATCACTCTTGCATCAGCCTGTTAACCCCCGCCCGCCCCCCCATTCCGCTCTGAGGATATGAAAGATGAGAGCTGGGGCGGATCTCAGCACAACACGTTATCATTAGATAAGGCAGCATGAAGCCAGGGAGGACAAAAGCCCACTGTCGCTAACGGGACGGAGATACTTTGGGGGGGTTTAAGAGGAACCGAGGATATGGCCCCGTGCGGAAGGAGAGCGGCACAAAGGCCGATGCCCCCGTGCCCATGAACATGCACAGATAGACTTGAGAGGATTCCAAACCAGTTATCAAAAGGCCACCCTAAAACAATTCAGTTTCCATGGATAATTCTGGAACCTCTACTTCAGGAGGTGAAACAAACGTGATCCCTCAGGGAACGCGTGGGGACGTCTGGAAGGATGTAGAGAGTTTGCATGTGTAAGACGTATTCATCACACCTCTCTGTTTTTAGCTCAATGCAGATTGACACTCGGATGCTCACGCTAACCAACGCTAACCAACTCCTGCAACTGCACTATCTCACTAAGCCTCAAAACCACAGTGACATTAACAAAAAAAAGCAATGATTGCTTGCACAGCTTCCCATTAAGTTCCTCCAAAGGCACATTAAGTGAATACAAGCCTCGTCATTTCAGCTTCCCAAACACCAATTATTCCTCAAATAGGACCTGGCTGGTTCCTCTAGGACAGGGGTGGCCAGTCTTACCTGCAAAGGGCCGGTCTGTATGCAGGTTTTTGGGATAACCTGTAGGTCAGCTGTTCAAACCCAGATGTGAGGACTCTTCAGCCAATCAGTTCTCTAATTAGGGAATTGCAGCGAAAACCCGCGCACACACCAGCCCTTTGCAAATAAGATCGCCGACCCCTGCTCTAGGAAGTGTGTCAGCTGCTCTTACACCGAAGCCACTTTCTGAATTCCTGTGGCATCCAAAATGCGCTCGGAAACCACAGACCCACACCAGCAGCCTTCTACTCCACTGCACCCGCTGCCATATTGCTTGGACTTCAGAGGAAGCGTACCTAATATGGAAATGGTGAATAAGTGTGAACACTCACAAGCACACGCCCGTGAGCAGACTCAGGCTGATGTGAGGCCTCAACATCAGCATAAGAAGAGCGACGGGACCTGCTGGCAGGCCACAACTTCCTGTCGTCTCCGCGCTCTTCCCCCTCCATGTATCTGAAGTACGTGAAGGAGAGACTGTAACCTGACGCTGAGCTGGGCCCCAAAACCACTCTAAGTCTTCTCCTGGTCCACCTCACCCAAGACTCTTAGCATTCAGACACAGAGAGGCAAGCAACAACAACAAGTCAGACTGACTCTGAATCACTGTTAGTACATTATATCTGAACAAGCCTGCAGACGAGGAAGACATGAAGCTCGGGGCAGGCAGACCCTATAAACTGCTGAAGTAAAGCTACGGACATGAGCAGGTACATGAGGAAACACTGTAGCTTAGTATGAGACAAGCTTAACTGAGTGAGACACTGGTCAACAAGCTCAATGGGATCTCCATCTTCCACATGGTTTATTTGCTGTCCCCTGACCATCCACTGGGGTCAAACCCCTTGACCTTTAACAATCTATTGAGTGGTCTAAATTTCACCTTCATGACCCGACTCTTTAAAAAACCACGTACAGGTAGAATTAAGGCTGGAATTGCAGGGAGTTCTCGCCATAATTATATCTGAAGCCATAAATCGAGACCAAAAAGAACATGCTGCTGCTTCTTCACCAGACATCAGGCTGTGCCATATTGCTACAGCATGGCCGGAAACATACAGGGGCAATGAATGCCAAAGCTCAGACCACCAAACCAAGCACAGGTGAGACCAATACAAATGAAGGCCACTATCCTTGTGACGTATTTCCAAGGCAGCGAAAGTTGCTATGGGTGCAGCATGCTAATGAGTGGTAACACTATGCTAACTAGAATGGGCTCAGACATGCTCAGGAGCTTCACATCAACGTCAGGTCCTCCCAGTCACGTCAGGACAGAGCCAGCTCCTTCTGGAGGAACCTCTATCAGGGAGGAAGTGCAGTCTCAGGTATTCCGAAGGAAGCCTCCATACAGCTCAGCCTTTCAAGGAGACCGACACAAGCAGCCCATCGTGAAACCTGCCAGGAATAATCGTGTTGAAGGCACCACACTTCCATTTACCCAAAGAGCTACCCAATGTCAGCCTCATACAATCAGAAGCTCCATTTCAGGACTACACTGCACACACTTCTGCTGGACAAAGAAGGAACCAGACACCTGGCAGAACTTTCAGAGAATTCTGACTTTCGTTAAAATCCATCTGAGATAAACAAAAATCACACATGACTAAGAACTGAGCGGCTGGCATTTAGGTGAGAGGTCACAGCAGGTAATCAACACAACGTGATGAGGGACCATGTTTTTGGAATAAATAAGCAGCAAGACCATCTAAGTAAGGAGGGAATATCCTGCATTCCAGTGGTCATGCCAGGACCCAGGAGGGACAACACAGCCTCCACAGGGAGGAGGGACTCGGCCCCACACAGCCCCATGTCAACCAGCCTCTGAGGCAGAAGGCATCTTCACAGTCTGAATTTTCTTAGCTGATTGCATAATTTATTGGGACAGAGATCTGAATTTATTGGCTGAAGTACAAGCCACTCCAGCAAAGGAGGGTAACCAGGGGCCAAGCTGCCTTCTGGACCACAGGCTGACATCTGGAAGGACGCACTTAGGAAATGACACCACGTACTTCCTGGAAGTCTTTTCCTGACCGGCCGTCTCACCGCACAATGAGCAAGTGCTGTGTAGCATTCCAACACTCCCCAATCTCCATCGAGCCGCCGAGTCCACGTTACATAATTTAGAAGTGCAGATATTCAGCCACCTTTTTCCCATGCTGGACGCCTGGATTCTGGGGTAAGACCTCAGGAAAGACCTGCAGAGGAAGCTTCTGGATTCACGCCTGCGCTGGTCTACGGCACAGTCACCTCAGTTAGAGCAACATTTGACAAGCTGTGCCCCCAAAAGCCAGCTCTCCGGTCTGTGGCTGTAACACTGGTCGTCACCAGTCCAAGACACATCCAAAGACTGAAACACACCCACATCAGAGGCACCATGATTTATGAACACCACCAACTGCTGAAATCTTTCCAGGACCTTAAACTGACTCCCACTTCAACAACCTGACTACAACTCCTGTTCAGCTAACCCAACACAAACCCAGGTCACAGAAAAAGCCTCATGCATAAAGCGGAGAGACTTCAAAACCATTTATACACATGGGCGTTCGCCATTCTGAGGCTGTGCTACTGAGTGACACGACTCAGGACAGCAGACTTCAGACGCTGTTAAGTTCCTGCTCCATATCAGCCCACCACCTTTCACTTATTTAATAAGAGAAAAAAAAACCTGACACCTTAACCCTCAAAATGTAGAAAAAAGCCACTTCAGTGCTGTGGGGAGGAACAGGAGGAGACCTGGAGTGACTGATGATGAGATGTCGAGGTTCCCATGAATGGGCTCTGGCTGCATGAGCACAGAATACCGTCAGCGAGCTGCGATTCATCACTACGGCATGCTCAGCGCCCCACAGGCGACACCGAATCCTCAAAACATAACCGACAACGGCACTGCACGTCACCGTCTGAGAGCGCCATTAATTTTTCATCCGAGGAAGCCAGGGGTACGGCAGGACTGTGGGCCCTGCCCAGGTAGGAGGCCTCACGGAAAGCCACAGTCTCCAGGCACCGTTATAGCATGTCACCACACCATGGCAACAGGCAGCACGTCCACAGCACCACGAGACATACCTACAGACGCGGTCAAAACAGGTGCTCACCTACAGGGCAGATGCTGGACCACAGACACTCTGTGCTTCTCAGACCACCCTCACTGAGTGCCGACAGACAGGAAGGTCGCTGTAACCCTCTTTCCAGATCTGAGCTTTTCCACTCGCGTTACATTAGCATCTGCTGCCAGTGAGGAGTGCATCAGGGCATCTAAACTGCCCACTATCAGGGCATCTAAGCTGCCCACTATCAGGGCATCTAAACTGCCCACTATCAGTGCATCTAAACTGCCCACTATCAGTGCATCAGGGCATCTAAACTGCCCACTATCAGTGCATCAGAGTAAATAAACAGTTCTTTATGAGAATGGCGGTGTGTCTGTAACTAAACGACTACCTATCAATGCATCAGAGCACCAAAACAGTTGAGTATCGGGGTGTCGGTGTGTCACAGTAACTAAGCAGTTTCCTATCGGTGTGTGAGCGTGTGGGCACAGCCCAGTCTGGGTATAGCTGTGTCCCAATACCAACACCGTATCTCTGTATCGCCGTACCAGTGTGTTTGCCGTGCGACAGGCAGGGGTAGAGAAACTTCAGAGCCGTGCGATCGCTTCCGGTCCAGCTGCATATAAAAGCATGCTATTTCGGTACAACCGGTTTAAGAAGCGTCCGCTCGGGCTCCGGACGGCCCGGCTCGGATCGGCCCCGCCTCCCGCTCGCCCCATTTAGACTCGGCGTTTATAACACTCACCCTGCTTGTCGTGCTCGTACCCGACCACTACGAAGTAGTCGGCCAGCCTGGCCATGCCGACGGCGTGCGGCCCAGCTGCGCTGCTCTCCCGTCCGCTTTGCGTGCGCCTTCACAGCCGTACAGCGAGATAGACTCGGCCGGCAGCAGCATCCTCCCAGCGGCGTAGCGACGCCATAGTGTCGGTACGGTCGGTGACAGGGGAGCGCAGTACGCATGCGCAGTGAGCAGAGGGGCGGGGCTGCACGCGCCCGTCTGGGGCGCCCGGGGCGACAAAACCGGTTTGAGGCTCCCGGTTTATGGCGGGCTGTGATTTACGAGGACGACGAGGCTCGTAGCAGAATGACAGTTTAACACACATTCAACCCAGAGAACGCCAGTTTAAACAACACCGGTTTAACAACGCACACCACACTTTTAAAATACCACCAGCTTAAACTGTTTAAATATACATTATTTAAAAATATTAAAAAAACGCTACAGATTGAAACGCCGACTCAGCATTACCTCGTCCTAAACGCAACGGACAGGGTTACAAAGACATGGCGGGTGATGATCAGATGAAAAATATCTTTTAAAGTCATCTTATGATCGGTGGATCTGGTTTCAGTATATCCAGAAAAAGTTTCCATAACTTTTCAGTGTTAAGTTGATTATTGTACTGTATGGGGCTTTGACTAAAATCGGACCCTTTCATTAAGAAAATATTTCATACTCTCATTCGAAGTAGCTACCAAAATCACGTCTCCTGGATTAATGAAGCGTCCTTATGCTTGGGTCTTCCAGACTGATCAGCCTCATCTGAGAAACACACACAACCTGCAGATGTTTTTGAGTCTTCATGAGTAGATTCAGTTGTGTCTCGTTTAAATTCTGCCACCTACTTAGAAACATCTGGGGAAAAAATGCTATTTCCACAGACTCAGCCATGCTACAATCTGAGGCAGCCTAAACTGACACCCAAATACACAATTCCGATTGATATTTAATTAAAAATCACTGTGTTTTTGAGGAATATTGTAGTAGGATGTGGCGTGGGGTTGCTGTGGCTAGTGTTTTTGCCTCCCACCTTTGGAAATGACGGTTTTCCCGCACTGGCTCTGTGCGCTTTGCATGTTCTCCCTGTGCTGCTGTGCAATCTGCTTTGGATTCTCTGGTTTCCCCCCAGAGTCCAAAAACACGCTAAGTTGCCAAAAGTGTCCATAGGTGTGAATGTGTCTGCCATGCGATGGGTTGGCGCCCTGTCCTGGGTTATTTCTGGAATACCCTGTATAGAAGATGAATGTTTCATAGAAATGTGTACGTATAATTAGTATAGATTGCAGCACCCCTGCATTTCATAAGTGATATGGAAGGGCAGTAGACAGATAATCTTTCAGAAAGACTGAAACAAAAGTCAGTGGACATAGCAACGAAAAGAAATGTGCAACACTCACCCATGCGTCTGTACCCCAAACAAAGTGAGCCCTGTCCGTCGGTACCTTTTCTGCTACACCTGCCCACTCGAGGGTCTCACCCACTTCAGAAGCACTAGCCATGGTCGACAGTCGGGACACTTAACAGATGAGGAATGCTGTGGTAGCGAGGCCAAACATCCTGGCAGCTTTGTCTGCGTGTAGCAGAGGAGCCCACGGCCACTGAGCCAGTGAGTGAGTGTGTCTGAAGGAGAGGTCAGGCATCCTGCAGTGTTTGCAGCTGGGGCTTGCTTGTGGAGCTCCTAGCTTTAAAATCCCATGGACAAATTCAGTCAATCACACTGATTTACTCTGGAGTTACTGTAAATATGTGAGAAAATAGCAAACATGTCAGTACGCTCCAAGATAATATTATAAAGCAAGCATTTCCAGATAACACTCACAGAATATTCATATGTCTGTGGGACACGTGTAGAAGGACACTCTGATCCCCAGATCTTCTGGAGCATTCTTTTGTTCTGAGCTCTCACTGAGCACCTCCACCTCGATGGCCCTAGTATCTCTAAGTGTCCATGCAGCTTCCAAAGACATATCCAGCACGGGGTCATGGTCTGGCCTGGGGTTGGCAGAACGCAGGAGCAAAACTTGAGAGGATGCTGACACGCGCACACTCCGGGCAAGTCAGGGATGCAAGTTCAGTGTCGTTAGGCTGCAGGAAGTATCCTGTGCACAAGGAAAACATGCAGACACTCAGAGCGGGATTCGAACCCTCTGCCGCGGAAGTGTGAGGCAGCAGTGCTCCCACTGAGACTCCCTCTCTCAATATTTTTAAACCATTGGTAAAAGCATAAATACTGACGTAAGAGCATTGACTGATACCTTGAGTGGAGAATCTGCTGTAGAAAGTCATTGGCCTTAAATAGTAGGGGGCGCCCTTAACCTGTGCCCTAGTCATTTCCAATGGGGCCGCAGCGGTAGGTGGGATGAGGGGTCCATGGTCCAGGTCCATGGCACCTCGGCTTGGCAGTGGCTCAGCCACTTGAATTCCTGGCACAGAATTTTAATAGTGTGAGGGCAGCTATCATACCTCAGTGGATCTTGGAACTGGGCTGCCCCCGTAGACAGAATAACATCCACTGACAGCGATCTGACCAAAGAAGGGAGCACAGATAAAAGCGTTTTCTGTTTCCAGCCAGGGAAAGGGAGGTGCAGTGAACCCATAACTCTGGCTCAGTCAGACCCTGTGCAAGTCCAGGGCCAGAAGCTGATCCTCTGTCGCATGTCATGGGAGACAATGGGTCCAGTTCTGCGAGATGTCGGCTTGTGCCAGCTGAGTCCTCAGCACAGGCGTGAAGGGTATCAGGTGGCTGCTGTGAGACATCCTTAATAAAGCGGCCCATCACGTTGGCCGGCTGTACTCATGCTGATATCACGGTGAACCTTGTACCTACTCCCACTACACCAGCCTGACTGCAAGCTCTGCTTGATCCACAGAGTGGAACTGTCCAGTCACCTGCTCCTAGGGTTTCCCTGAAGGCCCCAGAAAAGGGGTAATTAAGTCTTTGCCTAGTGTGTGGCTCTCCAGTCCCACACCAGCGTGCCCATCTTGGAGTGACCCTTCCGTCACCTTCTACTCACGCAGCCGAGAGAGGGCATTCTCTTTCTTCTGCGACCACATATAAGTATGTTCTCCTGGTGCAGAAGGTCTGAGAAGGCAGAAGGTCTGAGAAGGCTCTGATGATGTTCTGGAGAAGCAAGATGGATTATGGCAGAATAGATAAGGGAAGCTAGATATGAAATGGCAGGGAAAGACCAGCCTTCACCCTCCTGTTTCTTGACACTAACTCGCACCAAAAGGCCCGTTTGGTATCAGTCCAGGCTAACAGAACTTAGCACCCTCGGAAAGGTTCCAGACAAGCTTTGGGTAAAGCCATTGACAAATTTGTTTTGAGAACATTCTAGTGAGGCTTTATGAACCTCCACACCTAAGCACAGATTATAGCAAAGACTGCCTGCCTAAACGGCACCTCACAGATGAACCTGAACATTCCAACAGCACCTACAATGCAGAGCACTGCTGCACAGTCGGCCATTCTGCTACACTTCTACGGCGTCAATCTATTTTAGTTAATCTTTTGAAAGGGTCTAACATGAGATTTATTTCCCACTGATGTTGTATGTTGTATCTTGCACTGTCCTCTGTTAATTGACATGTCCAGCGCACCAGCTGAGCAAGGCGGACAGGAAGGACAAGAGATACAGACAAAGAGAATTCTGGAAGTTAAAGAGACAACCTATCAGTTAAAGAGACGACCTTTGCAAGTGGATAGACAGGAGTAGTGGAATTCTACAGGCTGCAGATAAACGAAAGTTTAGTCAGTGTGAGTTTTTGATCATCAATGAAAACAAAACTTTTACAGGGATTCCTGGCGTTGGGAGGTCAGCCTCCCTCTCCGCACCTCTGGTAGAGCAGGAACGTCAGGGCAAACATGACTGTCATATGACTTCCTGCCAAGTAAACCAGTCACTGGATGAGACAGGATGTGACATGCTGACACTGATCTCACGGCATGCTCTTCATGCACGTTTCAACCCTCTGTCAGGCCTCCTGCATCCTGCTGAGAACTTCACTCATTTTGGTAAAAGCCACTCATTTGTAAAATAACTGAAAATTTGCCCCCCTACCCCAACTACATGTGGATCAGACAATGAGAACCTGTGCTCTCCTAAGAGACAACACATGGTTAGAGATTGATCTCAGCCTACCTCCCTCCCCCCCAGGCAGGAAGTGAGGGCGCTGTGGCTGGCTTCGATAGGCAGTCTGCCCTAATTTTGTAGACATTCTCTTTGCCCAGACATACCTGGTGAGCGCGGTTTAAAGAACGACACCACATGGTGTTTCGCTCTCTGGCGCCCAAGTGCAGCTGAGGCTCATTGTGCAATTGTGATTTAGTGTCGTGCAGATACAGCACCTTCGAAGCCGTCGACCATCACTGACCAGCCGCTCTGGCAGACAGCATCCCGAGTGGGGGGTCTGCGGGGGGGGGGGGGCACATGCTGCAGCTCAGGTGTTTCATCCCGTCCCGATGGCAGCATCAGAGAGTGTGTGTCCTCATTTAGCAAAAAAACCTGACACATTGTGGGCTGGTAGAACACAGGAAAGACAAGGCACCTGAGATGCCTTCAGTGTGGACAAGGCGTAAAAATACCCCAGGAAGAACCGCTTCTCCCAAAGGGCCATTAGATGAGCTACACTTAATGAGAAATGGCGTGGCAGCTAAATCAAGCTGCAGTGACCGTGTATCATGGATAGCAATGGTCTTGTTTCTTAGCTGTTTGCTGTGGTTATCCGGAAGCAGTGCTGCAGAAAGCTGAGAATGCAGAGGAAGGCACCATCACGCAGCTCCTACACCACGCAGAAAGGAACATGATTCGGTGTTCAGTCTTCGTGGGATGACAGCAGCCAATAAGCTCACATTCTTACCGCAATCTGTATTTTCAGGCCCTGCAATAGGGTTTCTGACTAATCGGTCTCCTTGGATACACGAAGCAGCATAAACAAACATGCCGGCAGAGTCGTAGAGCTACTCCTCCGAAGAACCTTTGTTTCCAAAAGTTCCATCATAATAAAGATGTTCAATGTCACTTTAGAACTGAATGCAAACCTTATTTAAAGGCACAGTGCCTCTTTTCTTACGTCCATGCTACACCTTCTACTAGTGCAACATTTACTGGGGATGGAGCTCAGCCTTTTTCATTGTGAGAGGGTCTGAGTTTCATGTGCTGAGCAATCAGGACCTTCCCGTTACAAGTTTACCAAGCCCCCATGGTGTAGACAGCTCTCCGGCGCAGGCCGCAGTGACACTGAAATTCACTAGATGGCAGCACTCATAAAATAACACCATGTTTCTGAAAGCTGCCTCTCGCAATTCAGCTCCGGCCTGAACACGCTCCAGGTCCAGATACTGGCTGTGACGTCAGGCAGCTCAGCTTTCATAGAAACGGCTTCACACTGAGCAAATGCTGCATTGTAGAATAATAAAAACAACAACATAATAAATAACTGTATATTGTTTGCATTTCTGTAATGAAAAACAGGGCATGATAAGAATCCATCCATCCATACAGATATGGGACTCTGATTCTAAGATCATGACGAGCCTGTAATGTGCCCTGAAGAGCACAGAGCCCAAGGCAAGCTGCCTCAGACAGGACGCCCCAGACAGGACACCAGGTCCTGGGGAGACCCGTGTAAACCAGGAAGAGCACGCTGGCCGCATACACACTGAGCCCCGGGTGCAAATCAAAGCCACAGCCCAGGTATGGTACTGAAGCTCCCCATGACAGGAAGCCATCAGCTGTCAGTGCCCCAGGCTAACTGGGAAGGTAACTGTGAAATCATTCAATGGGACTGTGGGGGTGACATCTGCCCTGGGCTTGTGTGAAGTGCTGTTAGTGCATGTTTTCCTCGACTACAAACCAAAGCCGTAATACACAGGAAAAACGGTGACTTTCAGTTGCCTTTGGTGTTTGTGTGTGTGTCTGTCTGTGTGTTTGTGTGTGTGTATCTGTCTGTCTGTCTATCTGTCTGTGTTAAACCTTCTGTGTTTCCCCCAAGCTAATTGCCCTTCTTGAGGTCAGACATATTTTTATTGCATTGGTGTAGGGTCCATGCGAAGTCCTGAGAGAGAGAGAGAGAGAGAGGGGGGGGGAGCGGGGGGCAGAGAGAGTCTGACAGACAGACAGTACGTGGGGTCCCGTTTAGCGAGCCTCTATCTCTCCCTTGTGGGGGGAGAGAGAGTCAGACAGACAGTACCTGAGGTCCTGTTCAGCGTGCCTCTATCTCTCCCTTGGGGGGTCGGTTTGGTCCCCAAATTGTTTATACACTGAACAATTTAACAATTTATGACCCCTTATAATCGAAGCATGACACCATGAATAAGGAAAAGATGAGCCTTAATGCACCTGAAAACGGGCTTTACTGCTTGAGCGCTCCGCCCCCGTATTTAAAAGTTTAATGTCAGCGTAGGAGCTGCTCCAGTCAGCTGTGATCCCAGCGAAAGTGCGCCTGCGGCTCGCGCAGAAGCCCTCCGGGTATTACGGTTGCGCGTGGTAAGGAGCGTGAAACCGCTACAGGTTGGTGACTTTCTCCTTTCACTGACAGCTTTTCCCAGTCACACTACTTATACTTTATTGCTGTTATTATTAGGTAAAGAAGTGCGTTTTGTATGCAATAAAAGGCGAAACAGAGTGGAATGTGTAATGGTTCTAATCTATAGGCTAGTAAATAAATAAACCATAGTAAATTATTTACCATTGTGTCCACATTTCGATGTGGGCAAATTTGTGTCTGTGTGCAAATACGCCGCTATAGAATGACATTGCGCTGAACTTTATTACATTAAATAACTATATTGCATTAATGATAGTCATGAACGTTAATAGCTCGGTAATCATGGACATACTCATACATTATCTGTGTAATAGGCTATATAAAGTTAAAACGCTGCCCTGTTCTCCAGTTCAGCCTGGCCGATCTCAGCATTTTCCTCTGGCCCCTCCGCGCCGCGATGCTGCCCCTTTCTCCCGTCGCTGTGTGCTGCATCAGCCTGCTCTCCCTGCAGCACCAGCTGCTAGCCTGGCCAGCCGGAGTCCGCCTCCAGACCTACAGGTAGCAAATCGCTTGTTTCTCCTATAGCGCGCCATGTATTATAAGAAAAGTGGATGCCGAGTGAATTAGGAACCGGTACAGCGCTGAACTCTGGAGTGGACAGTTTTAATACTCAGTAAGTCTGTTTAAATATTATAAATTCCGTTGTATGCACATTTCTTTATGTATTCAAATTTCTTTATATTTTATATATTTTCGGAAACAACAAGAAAATCCTTAGAGTCAGACACACAGAATTATTAATAAGGGGCATTTAGAGCCGCATAGTTTAAACGATTGGGACGCATTCGTCCTTAATTCCCCTTGAACCCGGGACACGGAGCATGAGGTGCGGAGGTCCCTCCTGCCATGCTCCGCGCCCGCCGTCAGCCTTGCCCTCGGCGGTCAGACTCGCTCGATGCGCGTAAAAGCGGCCTGGACTCACCGTTTACGCGGCGCAGATAACGGCGATGCGGCCAAGGTCAGCGGTAGGGCGAGGTGCCGCGACACATGCACGGTGTCAGAGACGCGCGGCGGTATTGGCAGCCAAGGGCACGGCAGAGGAAAGCGGGCAAATGCGGGATTTCTCAAGGCGAAACTGTCCCAAGTCCGCCTGATTATGTACACCTTATTCACTGGCATGGAAATAATCCTCATGTAGAATTTAGTTCCAGGATCTTTTTTTCTGCTTCAGTGAAGAAAATTATTTTTGTTGTAAAATATTTGGACGGACTGTTTGCGATGACTTTAAACTGAATTATGTGCAAGTGTGACCATTTTAAACGTAGTGACACCTACAGCTACAATCCAAATTCTCCCAGTTCACACAGTGGACTTTTCAGTCTCTCTAAACTTAAAATTATTTCTACAAAAAATAGACAAGAACGTGTCGATGACACATGTTTTAAGTCACCTGCCAGAAATGATGACAGATGCAGCCCTAAGTGCACGTTTTACGTCTTTATGGTTAGGGTTTATGGCTCCGTGCCATAACCTCCATAGTGGCAAATTCCTGTAGCCGTATAATAACAAGAATAGGATTATGTGGGTTTTAACGTATTTTACACATGGTTATGTCGTGCCATACAAGTCCTTATTGAATGTTTTAAATGTATTAAATATCCACGACTGCTGCTTGTTTTTAGCTCGATAAGCCTGTGCAGTACGCATTTAGTTTGTGTTAAATTCTGGTCGCAAAGTTTGGAATTCCATTGTCGGACGCCGGGTGACGCGGTGATTGACTGCCCTCTGCTGGCCGTTAGTGATTGCGCTCCGAATTATGTCGTATAAGACAAAGCAATGTGGTAGTCCTGTTTTTTCCTACAGTTTAAACACTCCTCAAAGTGTGACAGGGTGGATCCAGGTTTCAGACTGGGGTCTCGCATAGCCATAAAAGGGGCATTTACCTGCACCTAGAACTCAAACGCTGCTGGTCAAGTTTGTGGGACCAGTGAAGGCAGGCATTGCCCTGGATTAAGGGTGCGTTGCTCATTCTCAGGCTGGTGATGTGGGGGGTGGAGCTTGCTATCCTGGATGATCTCTCATTGGTCAGTCCTCAGCTACTCCCACCTCTGCCGCTACCATGGAGTTAGTTGGGTACAGCTTCAGGCGGCCAGGACCCCGAGGTCAGTGGAAACCTGAGTGCAATGTTTAAGTGGCCCAGTATCCGACTCCTAGCCCAGGGTACCTGTCCAGCAGCTTCCCCCCTGGGGAAGAAAGTCCCGTTAGCCGCATCCTGGATGAAATCCCGAGCGCCAAGAGCTCCAGGCTTTGTTAAGAACTGCTGGTGTTCAGTTAGAGGGCCTATGTTCAGGCGGGTGATGCGACTTGGAAGCATGAGGTGACGGAGGTGGATTACCCTGCCTAAAAGCTCTCCGGAGGGAGGCTAAAGCTAGCAGCTGCTAACATGCAGACAAATGAGAGCACACTGGTATCCGGGAGTGACCTGAGGCGTGGAGCCTCAGTCCTTACAGGCTTATGGACTTCGAAGGCCATCATGTCCGATGGTGTCCATTCAAGCACTCTATCCCACGTGAGGGGGGTGCCCTCTGCTGCCGGCCCGGTGACCCTGAGAGGCACAGGGTTGCTGTCACCTTCCCATGTCCTATTCAGGTCCAGGTGTGTGGCTGTCGGGCCGTACCAGCATTCAGAAACAGAACCAGGTGAGAGGTGCAGAGCGGCCCGTCCCACCCAGGAAGCAGGTTAGGGTTAGGGCCATGCCGAGTGTCAGGGCAGGGGTCCGTGGTCTCTTTCATGGCGGTTCAGTTAATCAGGTCAGTGCTGTGAGGACTGACTTAGCTTTTGACCCAGTCGGGGCTGTTTTCTTCCGGAGATTAAAGGAGATTAAAGATCTTAACTTTTTGTTGCATCACTCTCAGTCTAAACATATCTCATCGTCTTGTACTCCTTACCTGTCAAAAAATAACAGGAAGAACTTTAAAGTAAGATGAGGTGTGTGGTGATGATGTGTGAGCCCCCTTAGCCTGTTTCACAGAAGCCCTCGGCCACCGATTAGAGACACAGCTGATTTTGAAAAATGGATGCTGTGAGTGACCGGCTTTCGTAAGAAATCAATCTGGCCGCCATCAGTGGAGGCTTTTAGGAGTTTTGGTGACAGACTGGATTTAGGAGCGAAGAAAAAGAACAGAGTTCCTGGTCTCCTTCTGACTGGCCTGTGCCAAGTGGGGGTGGGGGGGGGGTGTTTCACTTAAACCTCCTTGGGGGGCCCAGGAAATGGAATCTGAATGCTTTAGCTCAGGGAGGAGGTCCAGTAAAGTGAGCTCCCCCCTCCAGAGACGGGGGTGAAATGCGGCTTGAGCACTATCAGCTGCCCCCCCCCCTCCGCTAAAGGGAGCTCATGTCCTCTGCCCAAAGCCATCCACATCCAGGGCATATATCTGGGCATGGATGACAGGAAGGTCTCCCTGCCAATTCTGTGGGAGTACTGTGTATATTTAAGGGGGGAGGGGGGTCGAGGTTGGTTTGGTCCCCAAAGCTTTGTCGTTGATCCATGTCCTACAAGGGAGTGTCTCTCAGAAACACTGGTTTTCGTTACGGGTTCCTGTCTACTTTCCTCACCATCTCCCCCCCCCTCTCTCTTTCTCCCCCCCCCCCTCTCCTCCTCCTCATACGCCTGGTCCTTCTCTCTTTGTTGGAATTATCAGCAGTTCTGACCCGTTTGATGCTTTGCTATCAGTTTTCCTGATGAGGAAAGGACAACGGTTTGACATTGATATTTTATTATTCAACAAGTTTCAGGGAAGAGTGATGTGGACTATAGCTGCAATTTTATAATCATTTCATTATGTGGGATAAATCTGAAAAGGCTGGTGTTCAGTTAACAGGGGGGGCTGCGGGCATTGGGCTCCCACTACTGCTACAATAGCAGATTAACCCCAAGTTTTCTTTGTGTGGTTTGGATAAAATCTCCAGGTAAATACATGGTGCACATGGTGGTCAAGTTATAAACGGAAACTAAAATAAAATCTACTCAGCTGAGGCCAACAGAACAAGCGAAATGGAAACCAAACGTGTCTGGAAAATTAGAGGATAATGTGTAGATCAGTCTCCATAGAACCCCCATGGCACCCTGCTGCCTGTGCTTGTTCTGCATGATAAAAGCATTGCTAAGGGCCGTGTCTGAAGGACTCAGTTGTGCCTGTGTGTGTGTCTGTGTGTTTTTCCTGCTCATCCATAACTGTGCAGAGGTGCGTGAGGTGCCTGTTCTTCAGGCTGAACCCAGGAACAGGACCCCGCAACAAAGCGTATTTCACAATGGTCCCCTAGCTGCAGAATAACCAAGCTAAATGCGTCACACAGGACCTGCCCTTGGGCCTTGAAAGGACCAGTTAGCTGATTCTCAAGCCACTGAAGATGATTTTCTCAAACCTTGTCCCAACGGCTTCAGATCCACTGCAGCTCTCTGCAGGTGTGAAACCCTTCGATTCATCTCGCTTTCCATCTCGCTGCTAGTTACAGAGGCCTTGTCGTGTTTGAAGCAGATGACTGTACAGTAACATCTACTCTATTTCTCCTTGTAGGATCTTAAGGAACGGTCTTGTGTCTGAAGTTTAGGGTAGAGAGCCTCACTAAACAAAACAGAGGAATTCTGTACAGGAAGCAGTGCGGGATTCCGTCTGCTGCGGCCACTAAGCTAATGTGATCTCTGTAGGGAGAAAGGATCTGACCCACCTGCAGAAACCATCTCAAGTGTCAGCCTGTCCCCCCCCTCATGGAAAAAGGCTTCTGGACTATTTCAGTCTGCACCATGGAGTCCCACAGTCTGTCATTATCCCACAGCCTGACCGGCGATTCAGCCCCGTGTGTCAGGAGGCCGAAGGAAGAGCAAAAGCTCTCTGCGAAGATGGGACAGTCAGAACAAAAGAACATCTTCAAATCCCTGTGGGGGGGGGGGCTCCAGGGACAAGCTGTTATGGACTCAGCAGAGTTCCAGCATTAGGAAGGACCCCAAAGGAAATCATGACAAGTGTGTTAGAGAAAAGCTGCCAGTGACTGTCACTCATGAGGATCTCTGCCGTAGGGGGGGGTCTCCTGCTTGATGGGCAGACGGGGATGCTTGTGAGGCTGATAACCCTGTATAAAGGTCCAGTATTAACCACAGGGACACATCAGTGATGATTTCGCTAGAATCATAAATGGGTTTCATTCACATCAGACGAGCGCTTGCCAAGTCTCACAAGAAAACCATCATCTCCAGAAGAGAGCTTAAGTTATAGTATGAAAATGACATAATTATAAGCAATGTTAAACCTTCACACATGATTTTTTGGCTACGACATGAAGTCTCTGTAAGCGACAATTATTAATTCTGAACTTTTCCCCTTCAGATCGACTTCCGAGGAAAAGCAGCAGGACCTGGAGGAGGACATGAAGGCGGGGCCAGTCTCACGTGGAGGCGGGGCCAGTCTCATGTGGAGGCGGGACCAGTCTCACGTGGAGGCGGGACCAGTCTCACGTGGAGGCGGGGCCAGTCTCATGTGGAGGCGGGACCAGTCCCATGTGGAGGCGGGGCCAGTCTCACATGGTGGTGGGGCCAGTCTCACATGGAGGCGGGGCCAGTCTTACATGGAGGCGGGGCCTGTCTTCAGCCACCCCATGCCACCGCACACTCCCCTGGAAGCCAAGTGGCTGCTATGGAGACGCCTTCTGTTCCAGAGTCCCCCAAACCAAGAGTCAGGCCACCCCCCAGCCCCACCCCGAACGAGGAGCCTCCGGGCGGCCGGTGGCACGAGGCAGCACAGGCGGCGGAGCAGGAGGGAGCGGAGGCACAGCAATAGCGCCCTCAGGGGTCACCAGCACGCCCAGCTGATGCGCGTCGGCTGTGTCCTCGGCACCTGCCAGGTGCAGAACCTCAGTCACCGCCTCTACCAGCTGATTGGCCAGAGTGGCCGGGAAAGCTCCTCCCCCATAAACCCCAGGAGTCCTCACAGTTATGGATGAGCAGGAAAAACACACAGACACACACACACAGGCACAGACACACACAGGCACAGACACACACACACAGGCACAGACACACACACAGGCACAGACACACACACAGGCACAGACACACACATAGGCATACAGACAGACACACACAGGCACAGACACACACATAGGCACACAGACACACACACAGCCACACAGACACACACGGGCACAGACACATTAAATGTTTTTTTTTTTTCGCTCATAGCTGTTGCACAGGATTTAATCACTCACAACATTTTTTTAACTATAAAGACATTTATTCACTTTTAAGACACATAGTGATTTTTTTTCTTCCGTAAGCATCAAGACATCATCAGTACTGGCAGATTTGTCCCATGGGGCATATTTAGGGACGACTGATCTGACTGAAATGGTTGAGCCCTCTGATACACTTTTAATTGACCTGTCATCGAGAACCATCTCTTGATTTTTGATCAGGCATACCAAAAGACAACTTGGCCTGGTCCTGAGTTCTGCCCAAAACAGCCAGGAGGAACTTTGTAGTCTTTTTTGCCGCTTGAAACTCCTAATCCTTTGCTGTGAGAGTCTGCTGGTGGGATTGGCCGCTCTTTGCCACCCCAGTGCCTGATGGGTATGTGACTCTTAACTCCCTCTAACCGCACAGTCACTGGCTGACGAGTCCATCCCAGAGCTTCTAGCTTCTGCTTCATTGATCAAACATACAAAGCCTTAAGGGGCAATTAAATCAGACACATGATGGGATTTCTGACTAACAGTCAGTGCTTGCTGCCAAAGGACCCCTCCCTCCAGATCTACACCACCCCCACCCCCCACCCGCCGCCCTGACTGCCAGCACCCCTGTCCATGTTGATACTGCAGGAAACGTGGAGAAACTGGACACGCGGCCAGGGGAACACGTGCCACTTCAGGCACTGAACGCCGGACGGCCAGGAAAGCCCAGCCAGCCGGCTACTGCACGGAACCTCCCGGAATACATGGGCGATTCAGATGTCGGCCACCAGAGGATGCAGCTCATTGCCACCATCATAGGAGAACAACAAACTGAATCTGTGTTTAATGGGATTTACTTCTGCTGAGAAACAGAAATGCTGGCCACCTCACGCAGCATGATTCCTTCCTGAAATGAGCAGCGCTACACTTGCAGACCGCCTTCAAGCCGCAGACCGCCTTCAAACCGCAGACCGCCTTCAAACCGCAGACCGCCTTCAAGCCGCAGACCATTAGCCGTTGCTTTCATGGCCGAACAGGTGCGAGTCGCGGGGAACTTTCTGAATAATTCTTTGGGCTTGCCTCCCTCTGAGGCTAATTGACAAACTAGATCAATCAGAGCCAGGAACCTGCTAAAGATTTATCTCACTGATTCCACAGACCTTGCTGATTATGAAGCAGGAGAGCTCTCTAACTGCAAAGCCACAGTGCCTCTGTAGGATCTGACATGTCCAAACAGACCGCAGTAGCCAATGGGCACAGAAAGCTGAGGACAGTCTGCAGCCTTGCTGAGGAGGGCAGCATTTCAGCGAAGCCTAGAGCTCATGCTGAGTGACAGCAAACAAACAGGCAGGTGACTAATCTCCACACACCCATCAAGCACTGCAGAGGCCGTAGAAGTAGCTTTTAAAGCCTCATGTTTTTGTCCGAAAACAGCAAATGATTCCCTCGGGCAGGTGCTGTACCATTAAGTGTTAGAACATTATTGTAGCAGGACTGAAAAACACTGTGGACAGCCTTTAGTTTGGAGAATCCTTAATGTGCAACTACATTTTTCCTTCTTGGCTTTGATCCGGATTTCCAGGCCGTGCAGAATTGACTGCAACTCTGTCTGATCCAGATAGCCCAGGATTCCCTCTGTAACGTAGCTCTATAGGTTCAGGTTCCCATCTAAATGTTTTTATGGTTTAATTTGGCACATTCAGTTGTGAGGTTATTTTGCCAGTAGTGGTCTAACACTCATTTTTCTAACCTTGATCTCTCTCACAGGAAGTGTCACAAGTTACACATTACAGCTGAATCCTTCAGCAAACACGACTGATCTGGAATGGAAATCCATTGGGTAGTAGTTGCTTAATCAGCTCTGATCTCATACGCTTCTTTCTGCACAGTGATAAATTGCTCGAGGTTGCTGGGCTTTAGGATACAAGTGCGTCGACTTCCTGTCCCTCTCTGTAATGTAATGGATCAGTTCATCATGGCTTGATGATTAAAATACTTTAAAATGCTGAAAATCTCTCCATCTGGCAACTTTGTAGCCGCGGGCCTTTAGGCTGCGCGGAGTGTGTTTGCCGGGAGCCGTGGCCTTTGTCTTGGTGCCGGTGATTATGTGTCGGGTTAGATGCAGGGCCCACGTCACAGGCCACGTCACATGTTTGTCGCACCCCCCCCCCCATGTCCCCAGGCCAGCTACGTGGAATATTCATTTGCCCTTGGCTCACATCGATCCCCGACCCATCCTGAGAAAAACATATTACATCAGTCAGAATGTAGGTTGAATGAAGGTTTTGGGTCTGGAGAACGGGAATGCGAGGCCCCCAGTGGTCAATCGAAGAATTGAAGTAGGCGCTTACAGCAAACGGCAATACATCTTGTTATCGTGTGGTCACTCAGACGGCGTCGCCGTGCGGCTTAGCACAGCAAACGGGAGCCATGACGCAGGTGGACGCCCCCCTGTTCCTGACCAAGTGCGCATGGCGTGTGGAAGCTTCTCTGTGATCAGCAGAAGCTTCCGGTTTTCTTCACGTCTCTGTGGATGGACAGACCACACCGGCAATGACGTATCAGCGCGGTCTTCACACCCTGCAGAGCATCTGCGGAGCTGCTGCTCTCACTGACTGCAGACCACACCGGCAATGACGTATCAGCGCGGTCTTCACACCCCGCAGAGCGTCTGCGGAGCTGCTGCTCTCACTGACTGCAGACCACACCGGCAATGACGTATCAGCACGGTCTTCACACCCCGCAGAGCGTCTGCGGAGCTGCTGCTCTCACTGACTGCAGACCACACCGGCAATGACGTATCAGCGCGGTCTTCACACCCTGCAGAGCGTCTGCGGAGCTGCTGCTCTCACTGACTGCAACATTCCGGGAAGTTTTTCTCCCCAACAGCAAAACCATGAATTCTGCGACTCTCCTGTTAGAATAACCTCCTTCTTCAGACCTGCTCACTTATTATTATTATTATTATTATTATTATTATTATTATTTAATTGTACTTTTTGCATGCTTTCCGAAGGTCAGATGTTTCCAGCAATGCAAAGCAAAGCACTTTAAAGTCAATGTGTTCTTTATTACTTGAATTTAAGGTCTGTGTTATTTAATTTATAAATCAAACTTGTATTGTAAATGAATGTTTTAAAAGCAATCAGTGTACCCCGAATGAGTTTGTAAATGGTATTTACATGATATTAATATATTAGTTGTAATATTTAATAAAACCTGCTGGATACATGAATCTTTGTGCAATGTTTTGTATCTCACATAACCTGTTTATTGCCGCTGTGTCTTAATGGGACACGCTTTCTGTGCCTGAAATGCGGCCATATGCGTGTGTATATCTCTTTAAATCATATTAGCACATCTCATTTACCGTAATAATGTGGTGTCCTTTTACATTAATGCTTAAGATGAAGTATGTTAGCCTGCCAGCTCTACACCCAGGATTTAATCCCAGCTGCCCGTTACTGAAAGGCTGCCTCCCAAACCTTGTGTACACTCAGTGAGCGCCTGGTGAAAGCAGGACACTCACGCGCCCGACCGGCCTGTATATGTGCTCTACACACCCCTGCTGTAGGACATGACTGGCCTGAACCGGCTTCTGAAGATCTGCAGAGGCCTTCCAGTGAGGTGTAATATTAATAATTAACAGCACACACGTTTGTTTACAGGGAAGTGAGCTTAATTAATGCATGAAGATGGAGGCCCGAGCTTACGGAGACCTGGGCAGGGCATGCGTTTGCCTGGCTGGCCTGCGTCTCACCCCTGCACTCCTATCACCAGGGCGTGTACCTTTGTCCCCCCCACCCCCGTCCCAGGCCGTGTGGATAAGCGGCAAACGTGCCGGTTAATGTGCCCAGGAACCCCTTCAGCCAGCCTCACCGACTGGAGCAGGCGTGGGACGTGGGCTGGCTGAGGCATCTGGGAGGGTTTGGGCATAACGTGGGTCAGCTCTGTCACACCACAGGGCCCGGACCTCAAAAATAAGGACAAGCTGCAGGAAGTCGCTCATCAGACCTGCAAATCAGATCCTCTTCCCACTTCATAGACCCCCCAACCTAGATCCCAGGATGGGGGGGTCAGCCTTACCTTTAATATTCTTCTGGCAGTGTCGGTGAACCTTAACTTATCTGAAATATGTGAGGGTAGGTTGGCAGTGATGTGATCAAGGCTGAGGAGGACATGCAAGCTGGGTAGTCCAGATGTTCCTGCCCAGTAAGGGGGTGGGGGCTGTCCCAAGCCAAGATACCAATCCTCTATAAGATCCAGGGGGCCACAAGCTCCCTCCCCAGAACACAATTCCATCGCAAAAGATACATTAAACACCCAGTCCCCTACCCCAAATCCAAAATGGCAAAATAAAAGTCCTGGTCTGATCTTGTATTTATGAGACCATAACACTACATTTGTCAAGTCCACTGTACTACTCTTACACATCATCTAACATTGTGAACCAAAAGCCGCATTTTTAAGCAATAAACTTTTTTTAGACCAACAATCTTGCTAAGTACTTTAAAAGAGAACAACCGAACACAGTTATTCATCACCATAATTGTTAGTCATTTTCTCACAATTACACTGTAGCGTCCTGCCTGACTAGCCAAGGTTTGGTGCGAGCAGCCACGTTCGAGCCATAATGGCACAGTCCCTTCCAAAAGAGTGCCACATCATTCACGCTAGCGTTACGCGTAATAAAGGAGAAGGCAAAGGGCGTGAGCAGAGCGCAGAGCCATTTCTACGTGGTTCCTCTCTCCTCTCCAAGCATTCTTGGCCTCCACAGTTTTTAATGGTTTAACAATGACAGGTTCATGAAATACCTCTCATTAAACTATCATTTTGTGATTGTAAAAACACCCGACAGCAGGTTTTGCCCACAGAAAGCACCGGAGAGCCAGGGCTGGGAAGATACAGAACACAGAGGTCTGCAGGAGCATCGAGGCGTGAGATTATGGCAGAGCAGAGTCAATGCAGCCTTCATTTGATTCCAGTGGACAGAATTACCTAGGAAATGGATTGTAGAGTGAAGCATTCAGAGCGAGGCTGCCTTAGGCATAAGCAAACTGCCAGGGGCCTGTTAGCCCATTAGAATGGGAGAGAAGACAAGTGAGGTAACTGAATTTTGCTTTGGGCCAGAGGAGCTGAGGAGGGGAAACAGGTGGAGATGTGGGGAGGGACAGAGTTTACTGAACTAAACCGTGAGGAGTGACATCTAAAGGGGAGGCATGGTGATGGTCTCTGATGCACTTGCATGTCTAAGATGAGGCATTGATTTCCGGCCCTGTCAGTAAAATTCAAAGCCGGCTCAGGCTACATGAGGGGGGGGGGGAGCGTAAGAAGGTCGACAGCCTGTGGTGTCTTGAAGTGGCTCTTCAGGTCACCAAGGGTGACACATGGCGAGCCATCAGAGAGCCAGAGATAGCTTGGCCTGGGCAATAAATAATGATAATGTTTAGCTAAACAGGGTTAGTAATAATAATTACACTCGAACAGAGTTGCTGTGGGAAGAAGAGAAGAGTGAAACTCTTGAAAATAACAAACATGTCCCTGCCCTCCCCAGGTAAGTGGGAAGTGAGGTTGGTGGAGAGAGCAGTTGGAGTCGCTGTGTTGCCAGGGCGGGTCGGGTTTCTGCAGGAGTGAGGACTGGCGCTGAGCAGTGCATGGCATTAACAGGCATGAAGTCAGCTTTGCGACAGGAGACTGGCAGCTCTACAGTCCTACGGTGAAGGAGGCGTTCAGCAGCAGAAGCAGCCACTGCCGCTGAGGTCGCTGCTCCAAGTTGCACGTAATCCTGTAAATAAGCAGAAGTGTCTGGGGTGGACAAGCATCTGTTTTGGGTTCTGAGTCTAGCTGGTAAGTGTTTATTACTAGTCAGCTTCACTGGGCACCAGGGGAACTTGGCTTGCATGGAGCACAGGGCCTCTTCCTCCTTGTTGGGATTTGAGTTTGGTTATATTTCAGTCTCAGGCCAAACAGGCATCAGCCCTAATTAGTGTGTGTGTTGCTTCTGTAAGTAATGCAGTTGGCTTGCTATGTTAAGAGTGATGTATGGGGAGTTAGTTAGGGAAGGTAGCAGTTTCTTTTGTGGGATTAGTCATTAGTGCCTCTGTTCAGTTGAACTTGATTTTTGTTGGTGTACGGAGGCCACGCCCTCTTGCTTTGTGTTGCTAATTAAGATTGCTGCCCTCAGCACTTAGGGCATAGCTATTTTACCCTCAGCTCTGTCCCAGACAGGCAAAGATCTCTGCAAACAGGAATCTGCCAACAGGAATCTGCATTGGGTCGGTAAGTGCAGTTAGTTTCTTGTGTTACTAGTGATTTGGGGTTAGTTATGGAAATGAGGAATTTTGGTTTTAGTCATTAGCTGCTCTATTCAGGTATGTTTTTGTTCTGCGGAGGCTACGCCTTCTCCCTTGGTGCTGGTAATTAAGACTACTGCCCTAAGCATCTAGGGGATACATATATTACAGTCTCAGCTCAGGTTTGGCTGAAAGCATCTGTGCTGAGGGAAAAGATGGGACTTGAGGCATTTCTTGAAGGCAGCGACAGACTCAACTGATGGATGCGGACGGGTAGCTTGTTCCACCACTGAGGAATGACATGAGAAATGACTTATTTTCACATGGAGGAGGGATCAGTAGGTGGTGCTGAAGGCAGGAGGGAGCCTATGTCTAGATGAGCAACTCAATGGAGACAGGTGTCATGCCACTAACAGCTTTGAAAGCCAAGGCCTTCAACTTGATGTGTGCACCTGGCACCAATGAACAGAGAAATGGACAATTGTAACATGAGACCATTTTGGATGATTTTGTTTCAAGTCATTTGCAGTGGTTTCATGACAGAAGCTGGAAGTTTTCCCAGTAATGAGTTACAGAACTCCAGTCATTCGGTGATGAGTGCCTGGATCAAGGTTATTGGAAGACCGTGCTGTACAGTGAAGTTGTGCTGAATGGTAGGACTGGAAGAAGAGAAATTTTCTTTGGTCCAGTTGGAGGTGCTACTTCATCCATGTCAGCAAGGCATGTAGAAATATGATCTGAGACTGTTGTGTCCTCTGGAGGGAAGGTTATGTAGAGCTGGATGTCACCTGCGTCGTAGTGGTAAGAGAAGCAGTGTGATTGGATGATCCGACCGAGAAAAGTAGTACACAAGAAGAGGAAGGGGCCAGGGATGGAACCTTGGGGCACACTAATTAATACCTGATGCAGCTTGTAGTTCTGTGTGCCAAAACACTTGGAAAGATTTACTTTATAGGCAAGTCAAACCATCCCAGAACAGTGGCTATAATGCCAAGTTCAGAGAGGGACAGAGGGATCGGGAGATTAAATGTGTCGAAGGCTGCAGACAGATGGCTGAGATGAAATGCGTATCGTTGGGTGTCAGCAACAGTCAGCAGGCCGGTCTCGATGGAGTGTCCATCTCTGGAACTGACCCGGTGGGGGTCTAGGTGCTTATTCTCTTAGAGGCACTGGAAATGTGACTGAGGACGGCACAAGTTTTAGACAACAATGTGAGGAAAGAAGCTGAACTGCAGTTTTCTATTTGTGATGGGTCATGTGTGGGTTTTGTAAGCAGCCGAGTTAATCAAGTCTGCTGAAGTGCAGTAAGACGTTTACCAGGCTTGAGCGATGTGTTGATCATGTGGGTGAACACAAGCATGAGAGCAGGAGAGATGACTTGTAGGAGACACAAGAGAGTGGGGGCCAGGGGACACCTAGAAATGAGCAGCCCTGCTCCCCCCTGCCCAGGTGAGCAGATATCATAAGAGAAACAGGAGCTTGTGGAGCTGCAATGTTTTCAGGGTGGATCCAGATTTCTGTGACTGCCAGGATATGGAATGATGAGCATGTAGCAAGGACAGGGATGAAGTCAGCTTTGTTGACAACAGGCTGGCAGCTCCAGAGTCATATAGAAAAGGAGGTGACATCAGTAAAGTCATTCACACCTGCTGTTGGTTTTCCAGATTGCATTTCCTCCTGTGAATAAAGCGAGAGTAATGAGCGGGGCGGACAAGCATCTGTAGTGATAGGAATCCGCATCTGTTTGGTAAGTGCTTCTTAGAAGTTGGGTCTCCATGTTACTAGTGACATGCAGACTGTTGGGTGTAGAAGTTAAGAGTTTTGCTTATGGGATCAGTAATTCGCACCCGTTTAGGTGAATTCAGCTTTTATTCAGTCTGTGAAGGCTACGCACCGTCCCTTGGTACAGGTTTACTGATTGCTCCCCTAAGCTCTTGGGAGGTCAGTGTATCTGAATCTCAGCACGGTCGTGGATAGGCAGGAATCTCCTTGTTAAGTGGTTGTTAGTAGTTAATCCCCTTTTTACCAGTAATATGTTGGTAGATAGTGAAGTTCGGAGTTTTGGTTGCGGGATTAGTCATTACTGCCTCTATTCAGGTAAACTTAGCCTTTGTGTATGTTTCCCGGCAGCTACGTCCTCTGTTTGATCTGGTAATTGATATTGCTGCCTTACGCACTTTGGGGGACGCGTACATTACAGTTTCAGCTCAGTCTCAGGTGGGCAGGCGCCCATCAGCTGGAGTCTGTATCGGCTTCGTAAGTGTTTCTTAATAATTGACTGGCTTTGTTACCAGAGATTTGTTGGTTAGTTAAGACAGGCGTTGTGGTTATGGGATTAGTTGTTAATGTGTCTATTCAGGTAAACTCGACGTTAAGCTCTCTGGGGGCCTGCACCCTCTCTGTTTGCGCTGGCACTTACCATCAGTTATAAGCACCGAGACCAGCTTGTTATTGGTAAGGCAAACTGCTGAAGCAGCAGCTTCCTGCTGGTGTGCAGACCGGCGAGTCTCCCGAGTAACGACTACTTAGCTAAGTGCCGGTCACATTCCAATCACTGCTTCCAGAACATTACTGCATTTCAAAGTGAGTTTGGATGACAAGAGCAGTACCAGTAGGTCATTCAGGGTCCAATCTCAGGATTTTCTATGCTTCCTTAGAGAGTGAGTGAACGTGAAAGTCAGCTTCAATGATTTTTCCTCAATTTGATACTTCCTGGTGTATTTTGGATACCGCGGTTTATTATTTTTTTATGAGAAATGGAATATATTGGAACATAATGATCAATGACAGGGTCACAGACCAGGGTCACCAGGCACTCCTTTTATTTCAAATGATTTAAAAACTTAATTAATCTGTGACGGTGGCCTGCTGGGGCCGCCCTGATTCGGGACGTCGCCTCTGTTTGAGTCCCCATGCCAGTCGGGTAAGCAGACTGCAAGTTATCTCAGTGTGTAACTGTAGGAATTCGACACAAAGGATTGTCTGCCACACCAGTAGCTGTGGGAGCTATGGGAGAGCCCCTGGTTACCCAGAGTAACCCAATAACCCAAGCATGCTCACTCCACAGCAGGACGCGCTGTCGCCTGAAACCCGGCACATTGCTTCGTAACATTAATTACATTCTGCAAAGGGAAAGTCTAGTTTTACACCCGCAAGGAACTTCACCACTTGCCAAGTTGCTTGTAATTCAAACTTTCGCTTTGTGGGGTTGCATCATTTTTTAGACTTTAAAGTGATACATGGAAAGAAATATTACAAAAACTCCAGCAAGAATGTATTTCCAAGCTCAAGTTTGCAGGTTTATCCATGTCCAGCTACAGAAATGAGAAAAATGTAATAACTTGCTTGAGCAACTAAACCGCTTCTCTTTCCCTAAAAAGTAACTTTTAGGGAATGTATTGCCTGTCAGTTATATAACAAATCATCCATCTTTTAGTCCTTTAAGAAAATATATTGTCACGCCAAGAGGAGGCAGAATAGGACAGACCTCTGCTGGACATTCACCTAGTTTCCCAAATATATCATCTGCATTAAAGCAGTTTCCCTAATCCATTCACAATTCTCTTTATAGTACACAGCCTTCCCCCAAGCCTTCAAGCAGGGAGCACTATGTTCATTTAGTGGATCCCTTTGTCCGTAGCACCGTCATTGTCCATGGTTCGGGTGAGGCTCGGTCTAAGAGCGCTCGTAGGAGTTTACTTACACAAAAATGTTCTGAGGGCAGAAGGAAAAATGATTGGTTCAGTGAGATAACCAATCAGAGTATAGAGGAGGAGGGACCAAGACATCTGACTGGGTCCCATTAGTTGCCATGGGAACCAGCCCAATGCCTGCTTCATCCATATGAACCAGGTGCCTAACAGCATCGTCTGAAGGCCTATGGAACGGATGGCCGGTGATGCTGCCCTCTGTTAAAATGGAGTGTAAAAATCCTGCTGCTTTATGTCTTTTTATAGGGACGCGTATAGCAACACATAAGATTGATGAAGTTTAGGGTTACGGCTACTGATTCATGAGGGACTTTTAAAGAGTACATTCAAATCTTTACTCTGTAAGCGACCTGCCTATTCAACAGCCTTTGGACCCAAAGCAATCTACCTGGAGGCTCATTCTCATGACAGAGCCACACTTCCTTGTATATGCGGCCCACGGTTTTTAGTTTTGCGTTTGCAGTTTTGCGAAAGGACCGTATAATTTCAGGAAATGTCAGAAAAACCGAAGCCTGTAATTATAAAGTTTTAACTGTTATAAATCAGACTGTCCATGCAGGGTTCAACTAGGCGATAGATATCAGGACAGTAATGTGAATTTTTTAAGCAGTTTATCAATTCACTGGTTTTTCAGTGAAGGAAAAATCTAAAATCAATGAAATGAAGCCACAAAGACCTCACAGAACAATAAGAGCACAAAACAAGTTTGCTAATGTAAATGAATAGCAGGGATTCTTGTTTAAGTTTCATTCCTTGTTTTTGTCATTAGCCCAGAGGTACGTCACAGCCAGTCCTACAAGGAACAGCCAATAAGAAGCAGGGGTGTGGAAAAGCAGATAAACACTTCTCACTAATCCAGTTACAAATGACTGGAAAATGCACACATCTAAGCTTAAAGCTCCAAACAGGACATAACAGCTGAAATTCAAAACATCTGACCAAATACGTCATGACAGTGTCTTTGCGTGGTTGTAGTGGGAGGATTGACACAGTTACGTTTATACAGTTACCACACAGGAGACTGCCTTCTGAATTACCTGGGACCCAAAGTTCATACATTCATAGCCTAAAACACTGAAATGCATTTTACAGGAAACTTTGGAAGAAAACTAAATCTTTGTTGAGAACCATTTCACGTAGAAAAACTGGTACAAGAAAACTACTTGTGTGTTGCAGCGATAGTTTTAGACAGATCCTTTTTAAATAAAAGAGGGAAGAAATACTACTCATGTTATTTCTTATAATAAAAGTCAGCAGCAAATGAAAAACAAATTTATTATGAACAAGGACCTTCATTAACATCTCCTGTACGTTTTGGAAACATTCTGCTTTAGGGTCACTGGAATCTCCTGAGTCACTGTCAAACTAGTACAAACAGGCTACTAGCAATTGAGAGTTAAAGACTCACTTTTTTCCTCAATGAACCTGGTAAACATTTGCCCTGGAGTTCAGCCATTTGAACCCTGTGGACCCCCCCTCAGATTACTTGATGGTAGCCAGTTAAAAAGTTACCCTCTGCCATGTGCCACAGTGGCCCAATCTACCCTTTAAAAGTGTCACACACAGCACTGGGAAGCAGGGACTCAGCCCATCAACAGCCGCCTCTTCATCCACCACCATTGAGAACTCTGGTGAAAGCCATGAAGATCATCAACATCGTACGTATATTCCACGCTCCAGGGTAGCTGCAAATTAGTAATATACTCCAACAGCAACTATTCTTTTTTTAAAAAAAAAAAAATTCAATGTAAACATCAAATATTTTATTACTACTTACAGGGACCAGACCCATCGCAGGTTTATCGGCCAAATGAGACAAATATCAACGACGATGCAAAATCTGGGTACAGGAACTTCCAGGTAAGCCACAAATACTCTCTATTACTCTAAGGGGGGGAGTTCTGTCACTGTGGGTGTCTCATACTTGTGTTTTCTTGCTATTACAGAATGGGGATCTTATTGAGAGAGTCTACAGAACCTACAAGATAATGCACACTAATCAAACTTTGGCATTTGTGAAAAAGAAGGTCAGACCTATCATTGCAAATTTACAAATGGCTAGATGGTATTCAGGACTTTACATAGCTTATCAAAAAAAGTGAATTCCTTCACGTTGACTCTTGAGCAGCTGTCTCTCTGAATGGTACCTTGGCTCAGGACAATGATGATAATGCAGTGAATTCCTTCACGTTGACTCTTGAGCAGCTGTCTCTCTGAATGGTACCTTGGCTCAGGACAATGATGATAATGCAGTGAATTCCTGTTGTTCCCCCAATGCAGCATGAAATGTGGTCTGGATGCAATCACACTCAAATGAACATGATGGAGAGCATCGGCACTCTAGATCAGCTGGTGGATGAATCTGATCCAGATGTGGACTTCCCCAATTCCTTCCATGCCTTCCAGACAGCTGAAGGAATTCGTCAGGAGCACCCAGACAAAGGTAAAGCACAAACCACATAGCGTATCGGTGTTCCTCAGATTTGGTCCAATGTTGGTATATTAGAATGAGCGGGTGACAGTGAGCATTAAGCATCATGTTCTCTCTCACTCAGACTAAGGAGCTGCCAGATAAAGGTAACAGTCAGGTCACATGGTGTGTTGATGTTCTTCAGATTTGGTCCAATTTTTGTACAAGCGGTTTACAGTGACCATTCAGCATCATGTTCTCTCTCACTCCCATAGACTGGTTCCAGCTGATCGGGCTCATCCATGACATCGGGAAGATCATGGCATTTTGGGGAGAACCTCAGGTTAGTCAACAGGCTTGGGGGGGTCTCACCATAACAGCGTTGGCTCTGACATGTATACATATGACATCACATCATGATGATATTCAGATGAATTACTTAGTGGTGCTGCGATACCATTACCAGTTTAGTTACCCTGAGCATTCAAACAAAGATTTACAAAAGAGTGCAGAAGTGCCGATTAATTTAAAATAAACAAACAAAGTCATCACAGCTAAAGTAGGAGAATGAATCCTGGAGATATTTCTTTAGCTTCTGAGTGAACCTTTGGCATGCCTACATTTTCCCAGTGGGCTGTGGTTGGCGACACATTCCCAGTAGGCTGCAAGTTCCAGAACTCCATCGTCTTCAGAGGCACCACATTTGTGGACAATCCAGACGAACAGAACCCAGCCTACAAGTACAGTCACATTCCCTCACAATCAGAATCAGAATCGAGTTTATTGCCAAGTACGTTCACACATACAAGGAATTTGCTTTGGTGGTTGGTGCCAAACTTCGAGAGACGAGGTGGTTAATATATAAATATATATACATGGATATAAGGCTCATTTGACCACACCGATTAGACACCCTGCACCAAGACATCCACATTGGCTGGTACACTTGATCACTCATCTTTCTGTACTCTTCTCAGCACTGAATATGGAATCTACCAACCACAGTGTGGCCTGGACAACGTATGGATGTCATGGGGCCATGATGGTAAGTCGGGAAAAAGTATAGGGAGGATCTCTCTGGACCGGACTTTGTAGAGTGTTCAGATTCTGGATTATCTAACAGGACTTGAACATTTTAGTTGGATTCCTTGATTACGTTGCACATCTCGTAAAGGTACCATGGTCTCTGTATACATCTAGCTCATCCAACTTTTCTTCCAGAATACTTGTACAGAGTGATGAAGTTCAACAAGTGCTCCATTCCCGAAGAGGTGGGTCTAACAGCACGGGCCGCATGAATGCTGGGCGAGACGTGCACGATGCCGTAACGTTCACCATCCTTTCACAGGGTCTGTACATGCTGCGATTCCACTCCTTCTACCCCTGGCACACCCACGGTGACTACATGCACCTCTGCAACGAGAAGGACCAGCACATGCTGCCGTGGGTGAAGGAGTTCAAGTGAGTATTAGAGAAAGATACTGTACCGGGAAACGTCCGGCACTGAGCGGCTAAGCCAGCGCCATGGGCAACAGACTGCTAGGCTAAGCTGGCGGCACAGTACTGATGTTCTAACATCTGTGCACTTGGTCACCTTACAGCAAATTTGACCTGTACACAAAGAGTACAGACCTACCAGATGTGGAGAAGCTGAAACCTTATTACCAGTCACTGATAGACAAGTACTGCCCAGGGGAGCTGTACTGGTGAGGGCCGGAGGTGCTGCGAACCCGAGAAAAGCCCCCCCACGCAAATGCAAGAAAGTCTGCAGGGTGGGGCAGCAGCTGAGATGAGCACGCTGACATCACATAGCGCAGCTGAAGAAAACAGGACAGAAGGCTTTGGAAAATGTTTATTATATAGAATACAAAAGTTTGTATAAAAATGCACTCAACCAATCCCCCCACAATTATAATAAAGCTTTTTTTTGGGGGGGGGGGGTGGTTAGAAATGTCTTGCATTGCTTTTGGGGAAAAAAGGCAAAGGAAATAAAATCCAGCAGATGCATCTATGACATCATGATTGTCTTGAATCTAAAAAGCATTCGCTGACAGCAGCCGCCACAGGGACACGTTCTGCTCCTGGGGAGGCACCAGCAGTGACGTGCCAACTAAATGAAGCAACTCTGGCATCTTTGTAAGGAGGCCAGGCCTGGCAGAGATGGAGAAGGGCGACTGGCATTCCCTCCTCAGTGTGTGATTAGCCACCTCAACACCACGCAAATTTAACTAGACGCGAATCCACACACACATTTGCTAAAATACTATGATTGCGTGGTCAGCTAGTCACTTCTGTGCAAAACCACAGACTCACCCCCTCCAAACACGCACGGGAAGTCCCCACGAGGGTCTCTAACCTCAGCACATTCATGATCAAGAAGATACCAGGTTCTAGACTAATCCATTCAACTCAATTTACTCCTTGAATTTTGAGGACAACACAGCTACACTGTCAACATTCAAGCCTTTGAGGCTCCAAGCTTCATGCTAAACATTTTACGTTTAGGCTGTACACTGAAAAAAGCCCTCATACTAAAGACAGCCTTTGATTCAGCCCGAGAACTTTGAGCCACAACAAAATGCAATAGAGGACACCGACTAGTGAGGCTCCCGGTACCATGAGGCAGAAGAGGCCCAGACAGACTTTCTTGCCAGAACAGACCAAATTCTGCCATTACAGTTTAAATTATACTTGAGTTCTAGAACACCAATTTGTAAATGTGTCAGTACATAAAAGGTGGGCTTAATAAATAAGACCTGATGTGGTTTGCACTAGGAACTGAAATGCAAAATGAATCATTTTACAGCCAGTTAAACCACAATGACAAGGGTGTCAGTATAGGGTGAGAAAAGCTGCCGACGGCCTGCATGACGTGGTGTTTTTATTGTGGTTTCCCAATCAACCAGCTTCAGGTAACAGCAGCTGCAGGTAACAGTGCAAAGATCAGCACATGGAGAAAGTGAATGGGAATGCTTTCAGAACGAGAGGAAATGCCGAGCGATCTGCCCGAGAGCCTGACAGAGCAACAGAGCACTGCAGAGAGCTTCACTCACGCAGGGTACAGGCTAAAAATAGCCTTCATGGCCAAAATGCTCTGAACTACAAACACACGGGTTTCTCCTCAGTATAACATAGGAGGGGGAAAAAAAAAAAAAAAAAAACACATACACACACAAATTATCATTCAAGGAAACATAAGGCAGTTTTGGCAACAGGTAACATACCAAAATTAGACTGGGCTACGTGCTTCAGAAGTTCAGGCATCATGGAGAAGCAGAGGGAGGGAAGAGGGATGACATCACTTCCTCTTCTTCAGGACTCTGTCTGAATCCAATCTCTCGGCCGAGCCCTTGGCCTCTGCCTGGCTGACCACAGACTCCTCCGTCTTCCTGCTCTGGTCCCTTTTCTCTTGGGAAGCCTTTGCAGTCCTAGACTCTGTGGAAGCAACTCTGGGGCGACTGGTTCTGGGAGAGCAGAATATCTTCATAAGGGAGATGGCGGCCGATGTGGCGAAGAGGGACCAAAGCACCAAGGGGCCAGAAAGGGGCCCGACGCAGCTCCGCAGGACCTGCAGGGCTCCAGAGACCGAGCCTTCCAGACTGCTCAGGTCCGAATCCTCGTCCTTGACAATTCACAACAGCGGCTCAGCACAAGTGGGCCATAAATCACAGATGCTAAATCCAACACACAGGAAGTATTCCAAAATACAGAACTCCTAATCGGTACAGACCACAGACCTGCAGGACACCTGAATGCCAATCAGGAACCAACTAGACCTAGTCTAAACTAGCGCAAACCAGACACTATTAGAAAACACCTGCTGAGCTGCTTACATCATCATTTACAGAACATCTCTGCCCATGACAAACAAAAACAGTTCTTGAGCTACGAGTGGAACATTGTGAATCGAGCAGTAAACTGAACTCTTGCCTTGAGGTGAAACTGGCTCAGCAGGTTCTCCAAGGCTGGGTCCCCCAGGCACACGGCAGGGAAGAACTCGCCAACATAGCGCCTCTGCCACCACCGCTGCGGGGAAGTCCTGCCGACAGAACCGTCAAAACAACAGAGAATTGCCACGTCAAGAGCAAACGAGCCGTGGTTTATTTTGGGAGCCCCCGGGCATTGCGTCAGTGGCCGAGCCGTATTATTATGGTTACACCTACAGGCATTTCGACATGCATTAAAACCTGCTCTGCTGGCATGGCAGTGATGCATTCCGGGATCGGCGGTGGATTCAAGTAAACTGTTAGCAAACTACACAATAGCACTGACAGTAATCTCAGGCATCATTATGAAGGTAACACCGTAAATGAGACACTACAGAAAACTATTTTGAGTCCCGCTCTGGGCCGGGGGCTTCCACATTCGGATTTCTGTCACTCTGGCATGGCAGTAAGGCATTGCACATACCTAACAAAGCAAGTTTCTTTAGTTGGATAACTTTCCATACCATTCAAGACTTTACAGCAAAAAGCCAAAAATATGCTGGTTTACTTATTCTACCTTTTAACGTTATGCATCTTTTTTTGCCCAAGTCTGGATTTACTTAAGGTTTTATGCAAGTTGACAGCTCGATAAAAGACTGTTGCAAAATGTCCAGCAGATGGTTCTCTTCAGCTTTGATATTACACCTAATTTCATTAAGTCCATCAGGCAGCAGCTCTTTAGGTTCCCCTGGGCCGAGCGGAACTCACCCGTTTTCACTGGCCTTCGTGAACCAGTACTTGTAGAGTCGGGCGCGGATGAATGCTGGAGGCTGCTGGCTGAATGGGTATCGGGACTCGTCCACCTGGATGAGCGTGATCACTGGGGGGGGGGGGCGAAGCGGATGTCAGCACCCACGGTCCTGTCCCAGGTGTGATGGCCAGCCCCACCCCATCCACTCACCGCTCCTGCTTCCCTGCAGCAGCCGATGAACCAAGCTGACGAACCAGGGGCTCTGACTGTACGGGCCCTGGGCAGCAAACCACATCTGCCAATCCAGCCGCGGCTGGTGAGGGGCCACCACGGGCGGGGGGGTGCTCTCATTCCCGGGCTTGTACATGAACTCGATTTCCTTGGGGCAACCAAAGAAAGGATCAGGTCTACACCTCGTATTGTGGCAACAAAGATGGCAGAACAATATCAGCCACATAAAAGCTGGTCATGCTCCTACACCTTGCTGGATGACTCGTCATAGTGAATTCACACCCAGCTCCTGGATCATCTGAAGAATGTCCTTTCACGCCTACTTCCAGCTGGCCAAACATACACACCACCCTGATTCTCACCGTCCAGCTCTTCTTGTCCATGCTGCCCTCGATCACCACCTCGGGTCGCCCGCCAACCCCAGTCATGGTCCTGAAGAGCCCGTAGGAGCTGACCAGCTGGGAGCGCTCCACCACATCATACAGCTTCCGCACGCCCGGCCAGATGCTGCGGTGAGTCTCCTGGTGAATGGTAGTGTAGGGGACCTTTGGAGAGACAGCGATGAGCCGGTGTTTACGTCACATGTCCACACAGAAGGGATGGCTTCTGTTCAGAGGAGATCAGGAACTCACCAGGCTAATGGTGAGCATGACAGCTGCTACCGCGGCAAAGACGGCCCACTGGATGGTGACCCAGAGCTTCCAAAGTCCCCGCACACAGGCACACCTGACAGCCAATATGCCCAGCGATGGAGGCAAGAATAAGCATTAACCCTGCAAGCTTCACTGTCAAAAACAGGTTTTTAACGTTACAACAAAAGTTCTGTAAATAAACATACGGTACGTGAGAAAGCAGGGCTCAGACAAGTACCTACCTGAACATGGCCGTGATGACCTCCCAGGTGAGAGAGAGAACTCCAATCCAAATGGTAGGAACTGTGATCTTATTCAAAAAATGATGGAACTGATCGTAGGTAAATGCTAAACGAAAAAGTCCAAGCCATGGTCAGTTTGGCCAAAAGGTTCTGCCGTCTGGCCACTAAAATCAAGTTAACTATAATACACGACACCAAGACAAACCTGTTCTCGAAGACATGCTCTTTGTCTCCCAGTTAACTTCCAGTTCAAAATATAACCTGGTACAGTAGATTATCAGCACATACATGGCTAGTTCAATCACAAATGCTGTCCAAGAGATTAAGGCTTGAGGCCAAGTTTCTAGGGAAAGAAAATCAATTGTAAAATAAATTGTAACTTATTGCAGGCAAGACATCTATGACTGTGCACAAGCTAAAACACACGTTAAAAGCAGCACATGTACCATTCTTGTCACAAAATCAAACTAGTAGTATTTCTGAAAACAAAATTTAAACCTAGAGAGGATGCTTTAAGAACATCATGAAATGTCAAATACCAGGAATTCTGGATGACAGAGCTAACCACCAAATCCCTCAACGTGCTGCTAACCAGCACACATTACATGAGCCCCAGCACATTCCTCCAGCCCCGAGAACAACACCCACAGTCCCTGGAGAAGAGATGAGAGAAAGAAGTGATCATACTCTCACGACTCTTCTTCTTGCAGCGCCCAAGCCAAGAATTGATCTGGTCATCATCCAGGAGAGAGAAGCACAAGGCGATGGTGAGGAGGTTGAAGAAGCTATAGTTTCCTGACAGTATGATGAACACCTGGAACAGGACCTGCAGACAAGGCGAAGGAGGGAAGAGAATCTGGAGCGCTGGGCAAGAGAGTCACCAGCCCACGCTGCGGACATGGAGAGCCTGGCAGGGATAAGGGACACACCTGCAGATAGAAAGAGGTGAGCCTCAAACACCTGATAGGGGCAAAGAAGAGGAAGGGGGCAGCCATCTCGATGACGAAGGAGCCAACGACACTGAGCTTGTGGAACCACACAGGGAGCTGGTGGGCATACCAGGCCAGGGGCGTGGGAAGGCACTGGGTTTCATAGTGGTACGTCAAGGCTGCACAGAGGGGCACTCATATGACCACACTTGATAAAGGAGCAGTGCAGTTCGGATTTTTATAGCATGAAAGTGGTCCAAGTGGACCTCGTACCCGTGAGGCCCCACCAGGTCGGGCAGCGGCTGGTGAGCTTGACCACGCCAGAGGCAAAGGTCAGCCGGAAGAGCAGCCAGCGCAGCAGCCAGAAGGTCATGCCGTCGTGGTAGCAGAAGGAGGACTTCCCCCGGAGGAGCTTCAGCGGGGCCACCAGGACCGTGAGGAAGCCCATCTCCAGCAGGAGCCTATCCCTACACACGAGGGCCACCCCATCAGCCCAAACGGCACCTGAGAGGATGGACCGGTGTCCTGCCATGTCTGTCAGACCTGAAGCCAAGACCCCTCGTGCAGCAGAGATACAAGGTCTAGATTCTACCACCTTATGCGTTTATATTCCATGTGAAGTTTTTATTGACTAACAAAAGGAGAAATTTCGTGGCTGTCATTTCACTGCCTTCACAGGTTGACACTACTGGGCCGAGCCGGCATCCAAAACACCGCACTGTGGGAGCACTTACCACTGGAAGTAGAAAAACACCTTCGCAACCTGCAAAACGGCAGTGGGTCAGTGTTGAATTTAAAAATAATAATAATAATAATAAAAAAATTATATATAATATACAAAAATAAAATAGACATTAAATATTTAAAACCAGCAGCTAAAACAGACATATTTGCAAAAGTAAGTACATCTAACCGATTACAAGATATTTAACTGAGGAGGAATTACACGTCAATTGTGCCCTCAGCCTCCCTAATGTCCTTCTGCCCCTAATCATACATGCATGAAAGCACATTTTGCAAGTACTGCCATTAGACACAGTGACTCTATGGCTGGTGGACACCCCCTAACGATGGGAGGGGGGGTACCTGGAAGAGGGAGAGGTAGAAGAACCACAGCAAGAAGAAGATCAGGCTGTCTCGCAGGGGCTCCAGCACCAGTGCTCCGAAGGACAGCAGCGCCCCCAGCAGGCTAATCAGCTCCATCATCTGCGAGGTGCCCAGGCCCAGGTGGGGGCCCAGCCACAGCAGGGTGGGGGAGTCCCACAGCTGCTCCAGTAGGAGCCGCCCCAGGGGCTTGATCAGCCAGCCAGCATCCAGGATCCCTTCATTTCCATAGAGTCCTGGGATGAGAGGCAGCGTGACACACCAAGCTGAGGGGTGCATGCTGGGAAAGACTGGGGCAGCTGTGACCATAGATGGAGAGATGTGGCTGTGGAGAGCTGGCTGCTGTGGGCGGGAAGAGAGCTAGCCTCGGGGCTCCTGCAGAGCCAGCACCTTCCCGCCCCAAACCGTCCACATACATTACAGCAGAGCGTTCATACCTCATATTCCAGTTTCACTGCTAATTTTATGCAAGTCACAGGACCGAGAAGAGGGTCAAGCGTGCCTTTGGTTTGATAATGCCATATGCGGTCTTTTAAGCGGTGTTCAGACTCTGCGTACAGTCCCTAACTATAAGGATGCATACACGCATATCGTGTTTTCTAAATACAGTACTTGATAAGATCATTATAGTAAAGTAACTTCAATCAAAAGGTACGAAAGACCGATATCGTGTGTAAACCATAACTGAATTTCCATTAATATTTGAGGATAACACTATTTGGCGTTGTAGACACCATTACAAAACAAATCATAAAAATTACACCTAGCTTAAAAGGAAAGCACTGACTCCACGTGTAATGTTTATAAATAAAAAAAACGCGCTGACTTCCGGGTTCCAGCCAGGCGAGGAGCCTTCTAATTGGCCAGGAATGGCGGGGGAAAATGATGTCATTCCGCATCAGTCTACAGACACAAATGTTTAATTTTAGAGAAGCAGCAAATCCCTTTCCTGAGAAAACGTAAACAAAACCGTGCATAATACAGGGTGCAAAAACAGGATGAACTCACTTAACTACGACTACCAAAACATTTAAAAGTGATAGCCAACTTTGAGCAGGACCTAAGACTTCCCTAACACATTTACCGACATCGAAGGTTAATGGTTTGCGAAATCCAAAGCTGGTTGCACATAATTACTGTGCAAAACAAAATACTTGCGCAAACAGAACGTTTTGTGAACAATAAGAACGAGTAAGTCAAACGCGCAAACTCTGCATCAGGGTAGTGACTCGGGGATAAATGTGTGCAAGAGCCGCGTCTCACCTGGGATCTGGACGTAAAACGACGCGAAGGCGAACAAGTAAATGAGCGACATGCTCCATAGGAACATATGCCTGGGCAACCTGATCTCCCCCATTTCCCGCTGCGACCCCACGCCCAGCTCTCCGAGCTGCATTTATACAGCACAGGAAGCCGAAACGGTTCGGTCGCCCTGAAGGCGTGGCTCTCCCCGCCTAAAATGAACTTCCTCATAGACCCTGATTTAAAGGGGGCGTTTTAATGTGCATAAAAACTCTACCGGGTGGAGGTGAATGAGATCGGTTTGCGAGTCTGGGTTTGATCTGGCGCAGACTGAGGGAGGTGTGGTTTGGATAAGGTTGGCGAGTGTGGGTAAGGAGGTGCTATTAATGAGACTGGGGAGTATGTGTAAGGGTGTGGTTTGGTTGAGATTCGAACACAACAGGAGCTCAATCTCATGTCGTAGAACAATAGCGGTTCGCCTGCCAGGTCTTCAGTATTGCGCTGCATCTGGTATAGTAACAGTGTTCAGCCAATTCTCAGTTTTGCCACTAGATGGCTGTCAAGGACAGATACGATTTTGGATACAGAAAATAAACCGCAATAACCGAACAGAAACACTAGATGGTGTTGTGACCAATAACTGTCTCTCAGGTGTACTCTTGCGGATTCAGTCTGGCCCTTGTGTGGTTTTACTGTGAAGTAAAAAAAACAGATATGCCTTATATGCTTGATATAATGCTTTGTTGTAGCTGCACTTGTTCTGGCTGTTCACAGCTGCGTGCTGGAGATGTGCTGCCTATCTTACTGTCACTTTGCCCAAAGGTTTCTGCTAAATAAATGGAGACGCAATAAAATACATTAACACATTGGGATGACGACACATTTTGTGTTGCTGTCTGAAGGTGTTTGGAAGCTTCTCTGCTTTGTGCACGTTCTCCCCGCTTCCCCCCATGTTAGCCAGAGACCCTAAGCTGCTCTTGGCTTGTGACTCTGTGAATGAGTGTCTCTGTACCCAGGCTGCTCTCCATCTTTGACCTCATGGCATTGACTGGATAAGTTCTTTTGGTCAGAATTTGACCATATGCAGTCATTTTAGCTTCTGCTGCTAACAGCTCTGCCGAGTTTCTCCTTCTACTTGGGTTATTTGAGTGAAGAACCAGTCCCAATAGTGCTGCAGAGAGGCTCCTGGGACCTGGACTGACAGCCTTCGAGCTGCGGAGCTGAAGTCACGTGTACGTCCATGTGACTTAGCCAGGCTAAAGTCACGTGACCTTGATGTGACGTAGCTAGGCTGGTGTTTAGCAAACCTCAGCACACATGTTTAAGACTCACATATTGTGAACAATGTCATAAATCTGTCATAGTTTATGTTTATGTACTTCAAGTCTGTCAGAAACGCTGGTCACTCCTCATGCTGGTCATTCCACATCCCCAAAGCTTAGAGATGATGGGGGACCGATTCCACACTAAGGCATCGAATCCATGCTGATGGAGCTGTGAAGGTTTGAGCCGAGGACAGTTGGCTGTTGAAGCCAGACTAAGCATAACTTTCCATTCCCTGTGGACACACCTTTCTCCACTCTGGGCTCCTCCCACCCTCCAGATCTACGGACACCTTTCCCTTCATGTGCGTCTTGCTGGGGTGGGTGGGTGGGTTGGTAGCATTGATGAGGATCTGTGTTGGACGGTCAACATTGTGACCTAGATGGCTGAGATTTAGGCTACACAAAAAAGCAGAGACATAAGTGGGTGGTGATTAACCGAAACAGCAGACTGACCCGTGCAGGAGAGATAGCAGGAGGTTTAACCAGACGTCACAGACAGACCTGTCAGCTTCAAGGGCTGAGAAGGTGTTGGCCTACATTGGTGCAGCATGGCGGTAAATCAGCTGGGAGGCATCTGGCCAATCCGGCTTATTTCCCGTTCAACGTTACAATCTGTCTCCGGGAATTCAGAGAGGGTCACTATTCCTCTGAAGCATCCCAGAGCATATCCTGTGCATGAGGTACGTGTGAGCATGTATGTGTGTGAACATGTATGTCTGTCAGCATGTATGTGTGTGAGCATGTATGTGTGTGAACATGTATGTGTGTCAGCATGTATGTGTGTGAACATGTATGTGTGTCAGCATGTATGCGTGCGACAGTCATTCGTGTGAGCATGTACATATGTGTCCACATACATGTGAGCATGTACATGTACAAGCATATAGGAAACACCCTGTTTCCTGTGTTCAGTTCAGGTTTCCTCTGCAGTGCAGTGCCTCTGCAGATATCTGCTGACTGGCTGAAAGCAGAAGCCCCCCCCCCCCCCCCCCGACACTCCACTGAGCCAACAGTCCTGTCTCCTCCCCAACCCACCCCACCCTGTCACTGCAGCATCCTGCCAGCAGGCAGAAAGAGAGGGTGGATTGAAATAATAGAAAAGACTTACATGCTTTTTATTCTAAGATCATTCCAAAGTTTTGACACCTGGAGAGCAGCCAATCGGACTGTGGCCCCACCCATTCTGCCTCTCATGCATTGGCTGTGCAGATCAAGGACTGTTCAAGCCATTTGCCCTCCAACCTGTCATTCATTCGCTGGTACATGCTGCCCCCCCCCCCCCCCAGAAAAGTTTCACCTGACGATACCTGAGGGGACAGCATGAGAGTCTCATGGAATTTGGAGGAGCTATTGTAATTGAAATTAAGTTTCCTTCTATTTCTACAATGTTCTTTCTTCCATATGACAGGAGAGATCTTCTCTGTTGAGTCCCTTTCTTTCTGACATTCTCACCTCATTCATCTCCTTATGTCACCTGAAGAGTGACGTGAGGGAGCCTGACTGAGTGTCTCTGATTTCTGTCTAGAGCTTCTTACGTGGCTGTGGGTGACTGGTTAACATGGGCTGATCATGGGGCTGCTGGACAGACGGTGCCTCTTGTTCCTGCGCGTGGGGGTGACTGATCCTGAGGGGTTATTGCTGAATTCATAATAAGATTCTTTGTATTATTTTCCCTGTGACGATTCAGATTGAGCCTTTTTTCATTGTGATGTAAAGGTGTCACTCAGGATGTCTCTGCGCTGACAGGAGGTGCCCATCTTTTAGTGCAGGGCCATTAAAAGGACCCGGCTTCCCTGTCTAATGTCAGCACCCCTCCCATTTCATCCTGCTCCCTGGGGTGTGCAGGGGAGGGTCTCCTCACCGCTCCTTTGCCTTCCCCGCCTTCCAAGCACCTCCTTCTGCTCCCTGGGGTGTGCAGGGGGGGGGGGGGGTCTCCTCACTGCTCCTTTGCCTTCTCCGCCTTCCCAGCACCTCCTTCTGCTCCCTGGGGTGTGCAGGGGGGGGGGGTCTCCTCACTGCTCCTTTGCATTCTCCGCCTTCCAAGCACCTCATTCTGCTCCCCAGCTTGCCTGGAGCCTCTTGATTCAGGGATTCTGCTGCTCCACATGTTTAAATCCTGGAAATACATCACAGGAACATGATATAGGGGGGTGGGGTGGGGTGGGGGAGGGGAGCCTGGTGAATTATCCCACCCCCTGCTCTCCTTAATTGATCCACGGTGACAGCTGGGGCTAGCTGGGGGAGGGGGGGGGGGGGGGGGCAGGCAGCCGTGCGGGGGTGAAGGTGCAGCGTGATGAGCAGAGGGGGAAGGGGGGCAGGGAGGCAGATCTGAGTGGGGCAGTTGTGTGTGGGGGAGTTGGGGGAGGGTCACTCTCTCAGGGAGGGAGCAGAGGCGCCAGAGCATTAGGAAGCCCCCCCTAACCCCGGACAGCCCATAGACAGACGATGTGGGAGATGAGAACCCAGAACCTCCTCTACAATTCTGTGCTAGATGCATCATTTGGATTAAATTAAACCTAAATACCCCCACGCCACATTCTTTAAGTATTTGAGAAGATGCCTTCGCCTGCAGGGGGGGCTTGCGGGGCACTTGTTATCCCAGCGTGAGACGTCACTGGGGACACGCCGATGACACGCTGAGGGGACGACTTTGACCAGGACGTGGTAGTTGGGCGTGCGGTGGCACACCTGTGCGGGGATGTGTGACGCTTCTCAGCGGGGTGGAGGTGGAGGTCAGTGCCTTGGCTGGCGGGGGGCACATTGGCTGGCGCAGACGCAGGTCAGACCAGCTGTCACGTCCCACCAAGCTGTGGCACGCTCACCCCCACACCGGCCCACTCGCTTCTATTGGCTGCCAACCGGAACCATTGAGGGGCGGGACACAGGAGCTGTATGCTGATGTGACATCTGCTTTGGAGGGGGGGTGGGTCAGAAGCACACTGCTACTGCAGCAGACAGGAACCCCCCAGAGTGAAGGCACAGGTTGTGCAGATCACCATGAATGACGGGTCACTGAAGCGCTGCGCCTGTTTGCGGAGGAAGGGTCTCCTTCAGGTGGGGGCTCTGGGGCGGGGTCACCCCAGGAAGGAGTGTGGGGGCACAGATGGAGGAGGGGGGTGGAGATCCAGGGCTGACCCTGGACATGTGGCCATATTAAAGCTACATATGCACAAAGAAACCAGACTGACACAGGCAAGGCCGACCGTAACCCTACCAGCACTAACCTTAACCATAACCAGAAATTGAGGTTTATATTGTGGGGTCCTGAAAAATGTCCCAGGAAGATTAAAAGTAACAGGTTTGACATTTGGTCCCCACAATGTGGTGAATCGTTGGTGAGCATCGGTGGGCATCACCATCGCCTTTGGTCGAACGCAATGGGCTATTTGCTTGTTTATCTATGTGGGAGGTAAAGTTCAGAAAAGTCAGCATTCCATGTACATCATGCCTCACTCCCATTGGCTAAATGCTGCTGTCACTCACGGAGGGCACACCCCTTGGGCCAAAGCACATTCTGTGGTGGGTGGCGATGGCAACGCTGATTCAGATGGAGATGAGATGGAGACAATAGGAAGGGGCCTTTGTGGGGCCCACCTGCAGGGTAGAGGGGCCGCAGACTGAGTTTCCACTGCTAGTTAAAATAAGGCTGAACTTAGAGAGCCGTTTCCATAGCGAGGGAATGCTTAGAGGAAGAGCCCACAGGAATGAGAGCTCAGAGCGAGTCACAAAGACCACTGGGAAGGTAGGGAGATGGCAGCAGACACAGCAGGCCCAAAGAAGAGCTCTGACAGTAGGCCTGGAGAGTCTGCGAAGGCGGTAGCAGACACAGCAGGCCCAAAGAAGAGCTCCGACAGTAGGCCTGGAGAGTCTGCGAAGGCGGCAGCAGACACAGCAGGC